ATCAATGCTTACAGACATTTTGAAATCATGTTTGAATGTGTACACACTTACGTACATTACTCCTGTATTTTGATGTTACTCAATCAAGAAATAACTTGTGAAGACTTGAAAATATGCATTATGAGCAGTTTTGTCAGAATACAATTTAAGGAATTCACAGCAAGCTTTAATTAAAAACAATATTATACTAAAACTGGGAATCATGATAATTAATTATCTAGCAAGTACACACATGCACTGGGACAGAAATAAACTATGCAAGTTGTAGGGAAAAACACATCAATGATCAAGTGTATGTGACTCCATCCCCAAGTCAAAGACGGTATTCTAGTACAACAAGCTTGGGGCATTCTCCACTGACAGCATCACAGCATCACATTACACATCCAATAATGCAAACACCCTCAAGTTCACATCCGATCGATTGCTTTCTTGTCTTCTTTCAGCTCAAAGATTCTCCCCAAGGATCCTGTCAGTGTTTTTATTCTAGTTTGATGGTTTTGTTGTTTGCTTGAATGGCAGTGGTGTTAAATTACTTCAAGAGGTCTCTAGAACAGGTCTCTTCTGTTGCTGTAGTTTGTAAACATGACTTCCATGCACATGTACATGTAGGTACCGGTACATGTACTGTAAACGACTAGCCTACCCTCAATATGTTTTTGTACGTATACAGCTTTTCAAAATGTGCTGAAAATTAATCTAATTTGGTTGAATTGCTTGGCCACATACATGTAATGTACATGTACTCCACAGTTTCAAAGTCGTCGTTTTAGGGATGTATTACATTATATAAATAAAAAAAAACCTTACACTTACAGTTAGTTTCAAAGAATATGAATTTCCAGAATATTATTTTTTATCTTATAAACTAAAAGCAATGCTAGAGCATTGTTTGGTTCACACTCATAAGCTGCACATGTACCAAATTTTGAGGTTTCATTTTTATCCCTCTGCAAACTGACACAATTAGTTTCCAAGTTGTACTCACTATCAGCTGCTTGCCAGGTCCAGTGCTCTCCACTGTCTCACTCTGCATGATGGACGTCAAAAGAGAAATCCACAATCCCCGACAAAATGAGTCTGAATTTTAATGTCAGGAACTTTTGCTGAATGTGTAGACGGCTAGTCTCTTGGTGGTTGTTGGAGTTTGAGTGCAAATCAGTGTCCACACTGCCGTGTTATATCAGCTGTTTCAATGTGCTGTCATGAAGGAACCAAGCAGAAAGACGAAGGGACAAGATGAGGGCTGAATAAACAGACCGTCCGTCACACTTGCCAAAACTTGGTCAACAACATAAACGTGATGTTCAGGTCTTCAACAGCTCAAAAGCATCAGTTTAACAGAAAGATAGTAAAATATTTAATTGCCGACTGGCAGGTGAACATACTGACTCTGCCAAAATTCCAATCAAAATAACCTTGCTACAGGTCAGCACTTCCAGCAATATTTAGGCCAGATGAATGATTGCAGTCTTCACTGATCTTAAGACACTGAGCCAGCGATGATGAACTCTTAAGCTCCAGTTACAGTATCCTCTAAATACTGAATACAACTTGAGTACATGCACATCACCAACACTGGACTGGATTTCCCCTCTGAAGCTGATCCACGAGGGACGTGCGTACGCTGTAAATGAAGCCTGTTATTCACCTTCCTGTGTGCGCGTGCGTTAAGGATATCATTAAATGCCCACGCTGGTTTTGACAGTGACCAAGGGTGACGTACGCTCTGCCGGCAATTCCTACCACAGAAACCACAACCACCAAGGACTTCTGACTACAGGAAATTAATTATTTGTAGGTTTCATTTTCATTTTGAGATTAATCTTGTTATTTAATTGATGAGGCCAAAGAGCAGTTCAGAGTGAAGCAGGAAAAAGGTTCACTTTATGTTTTAATCCACATGCTTTAAAGAGGCATTCGTACATATTGACTTCATATTTTTTTTTTTAATATCTGTTGGAAAAATGTAACCAACGTAATTATTTAAATAATCATGAAAGTCTACCCACCCATACTGGTGACCTGAATGATTAAATAACAGCCTTGATGACTGATGACTGACCAATCAATGTAATGTAACAATTTCAACCAACACTAACACCAAATTCTTCATGTCATGCATAGTGTGTAATTGTGTCAAATTTATTACTATACATTGTGAAAATGAACTACATGTACATTTACAAGATAAAGTTAGGTTAAGAATATACAATTTGTTTTGGCTGCATGTTGATTTAGGAAAGATGTACACTCTGCATTTGACAGTTTATGTGTCGTGACTGTTCAGTGAAAGTTAAATATCTAGACACAACTGTGAAGTTAAACGTGCATGTACCGGGTACATGTTGTGAACATGTACATTATCTACACTTGCCTCTGTTGTCACAGCAACAGGGAATATATCACTCTATCCACTACCTAACACAAAGGACCAAACTGTCTCCTCGAGTAACGAGGTACTGAAATTCTACTCATTGAGACATTTCCTGAGGGAACTGGGGTGTCAGTAACAGGTGGTAATCACATCTGATACCTACAGGTTGAAATCAATTACACTAATTGAGTGTTGAGTTTTCCCAGAAGCAGACAAAATGTTAGACATATTATCACATTTGTCATGTTGAGAGTTAGAAACATGGATAGATAGGCCCTATATCTTCTTTATTTAAATAAAAATAACAATAATACCTTTGTCTTGAATTGAGGTGAAGTTTTGATGGGTGGTCACACAAGGTTTTAAGTGCAGATACCCTGGCTGTAGTTGTCCAAATCTCGTTTGGACACTTTGTTTAAAATTCAATCAGACATATTTTTTTTCTGGGCATTATCCATCACCATAACTACATGTTAACAAAGAAGACAATCCAGAGTAATGAAACATTTCTGTACTAAAGTCTGTTTCAAACTCCGTACTTTAAACCCTGTTTAATGCTTGTCCCTTCATATTTGATCCAAATGCACAGATGAATACACCTTCACTGTTAATTTCCACTGAGAAATCAATCACACAATTCACAAATGTTCAACTCTTGCTAACTTTTGTCAAAGCTGTGCCCCAACGGTACGTACATATGTTGGGGAAGTGTAAAAGCTTGGGCAAGCTGAAAAATCAAAGAATTGAAGACGGGGGATTTCAAGAAAGAGGTCAGGGAGTTGTACATGTAAGGGAGATGATTCTCACAATGAAATAGACTTGACTTGATGGGAAAAAAAATCCCTGTGAGGTACGCTAAGTCCAGCAAGTGACTGTACAGGTCCATCCTACAAGACGTCAATAAATAATGTACATGTATGCAAAAGCAGTAACACTTTGCCCTACACTGAAGTCAAATGTATACTGAGTACTGTGTTGTGCAAGGGACTGTAGTTACCGGTAATAATTTTCTGATGTTCTGAAAATTAACGAAAATTATACATGTAGGTTTTTTTTGTAATGCTTTCATTGTGGCGCCTTTTACATACATGTATGACACATTTATATTTTTATTATACTGTGACCCCACAAAAACAGTGTCACATCATAATTATTGGCACTAAATGCACACTGCAAATCTTACAATCGGTTATTAGACAGGTATTGATGAGAATTTAACAACTCTCAACTTTGATGGAGTACACGACCATGAATCGACTCAAGAGTCAATGAAGAAAAATAATATTAATATGCTACACTATGGGGCATTAAGATCAGTTGGTTGCTTTTAACCTCGGCTTACAGTAGTATACGTGTACCACACTGTGCAGACTTTAAATGTCAAGCATGAGAAATAGCTACATACATGTATATGTACATGTACCTGCAAATTTATTGATTGAAGTGAAAATCAGCAAAAAAAATTATCCTGGAACATTTCTCAGGTTTCTAAAGGCTGAAAATTATACACATACTGAACTTTATGCCTGAACAATGTACACGTACCTGCATAGACCGATCAATTACATGCATGTGTGATGTGTACATGAAAGTCATGTTACCTAGCAACAAAATGATAATTTCCAGCAATCAAGGAAAAATAGTGAATATTATTTTGGACATTGGGAAATGATAAAGCTTACATGTAGGAGATAATGTTTTTGTGGTTGCTACTGGTAGATGTTGTTTTCACACATGTACCCCTTTCCACTTTTTCAATTCAGCTTTTCGACTGCAAATGAATAATTTTTGGTCTTGGAAAATTAAACAGACGTGAGAGAAGACTGATGGCAACCTCAAGCAAAAAAGTACATAAAAATAAAAGGGCAGGATAGTAAAACATGACAAGTTCCTACTGAATCACAAACACTGACTCTTCATAGAAACAATGATTGTTACAAACAAGTCAACATTCCCTTTGAGATAAAAATTGTAGAATTCCAAAGGAATTAAAAACATGAAGAAAAATATATTTGTTTCACATTTCATCATGTGTTTTTCAGACAGTAAATGACAACTTCTGTAATTGACAACAGAACTTCAATACACAACTCCCAGCTTTGTACAAAATGTACCATACAAAAGGTTTGAAGAAAAGCAAACATAGTGTGATGCACTGTAAATGTACTCTATAATTCACTAAATGGCGTTTAAAGTTCCATTAGAGGATTTTGACTCTGAAAACATCTGCTTCTGAAATCTTGCAAATGCCCGCTAAAGTTATACATCCCGCAAAAGGATAATCTCATCAGTGTGTATGACGCATTCTGTTCCTGGCAATTGTTGAAGATTTTGTCTATTCTAAACTTGCATGCACCAGAATAAAACAGCTACATGTATGTGTATAAAAGTACATGTATATGAAAAGTATAAGAGGTCAAAAACATACACACTGGCCGAGTTACTTGTCAATTAGGAAAAAAACTGTTTGAATGATTAAATAATGAAGCTCCTCTTTTAGAGCTCCATGATTTCACCCTAACCTTCCCAAATCCTCTTCAGATAAGTGGATGATTTTGATGGATTGACGCTTTATGGCACAAATGTATGTTTCAGATGTGACGTCACATCTGAAATGACTTACCAATGGTGATGCAAATCCAGCATACGCTCCTTGTCTTGTTCTTGATGGTGACCATGTACGCCAAGGAGAGTCAGAACGGACTGGAGATGAGATCTGTGGAACTTGCTGCTGAGACCTCCTTGGAGAACCATCAGGAAGAGACATCACTCTCTTGAAGGGACTGTGACATCCAAGGACATCACTGTCGGCAGAATGAGGCCGAAGAGGGCTGGGGGAGTTCTCTAGTCTGTATTTGCAAGAAATAAGTCATTAAACTATGAGTATGACAAGTATGTAGTCTGGTATCACAGTCTATGAAAGCAGCTGTCAATATTTCACTACCACATTATTGTATATGTTTAGAGGAGCAGACGGGTACCTTGAAGGCTTGTACCAATTTTGCACGTTTTACAGGTCTAGTCAAAGCATAACAAATCTCATCTGAAAATACCAAGTCTGAGAATGCTGGCAGGCTGGGGACTATTACCATTCATCACATTCATCCTCTGACATGTCAGTGTTTGTGTAGTGTAGGGACCTGTTCCCTAGTATAAGGGAACAAAATCCCCTTTTTGGTTATTAGACTTATTAAACCAGTTGGTGACATTACAAAGCAACAGGTATGCCGTAGATAGAGGACAGGGGTTTTTTTTTGAGGGAAAGATGCCACTTCAGCGGTTGTGTACGAAGTCTATGGAGGGTCAAGGACATTTTCATTCTATCAAAGTAAATTTCCTAACAAAATTAGACATGTATCTAAATCCCATATTTATGTCTTTTCAACATTTTTGCAAATGATTGACCTTCATCATTGAGATGATATAATGATGAAAAAAGTGGCATCTGCAACATTCCTTTCATGTACCGATTTATCAAAAGATTACAGTGGAAGTAGTGTAGCTGACGCCTCCCTTTTTTACTTGTTCCATTCAAAAACGACTTTTGCAAATGACTGTCAAATTTTCAAAGTAAATTTCCTAACAAAATTAGACATGTATCTAAATCCCATATTTATGTCTTTTCAACATTTTTGCAAATGATTGACCTTCATCATTGAGATGATATAATGATGAAAAAAGTGGCATCTGCAACATTCCTTTCATGTACCGATTTATCAAAAGATTACAGTGGAAGTAGTGTAGCTGACGCCTCCCTTTTTTACTTGTTCCATTCAAAAACGACTTTTGCAAATGACTGTCAAATTTTCCGAAATGACGTTTGCAGCCCAATGTAGTCTATTCATAGATTAACTCTAGATGTTTGTTATTTTGATTAGAAGATCTACTTTGGAAGAAAATGGAAGAAGTGTTTTTTCAGAAAAAAGATTCAGACATGGGAATCTTTCCAAAACATGTCCTCTTTCTACAAATTTAGCCTGCGGATGTTTAATATTGTAGCTGGAGTTACCTCAGCCCTATATTTTATCATTGGGTTGTTGTCAACAACCCAATGATCAAATATAGGGCGGAGGTGACTCCAGTTATATTCTAAAATTTCTAGCTAGCTTCTAGCGAACTAAAAAATATACTCTAACTCTTCCTGCTGGTAACTTTTAGGTAGGAATACCAAAACATAAAAAGGTCTTTTTGTTCTCATATGAAACGGGGTCCTAAACTACACCATAACCATTACAGTTTTTACAAGTGGTTTAACTAAGACAAAGTGGCAGCGCCACTGGAAAGCGCAAGTTGAAAGTTCGTTTTTTCCCCCATCCATCCATATAGGCCTAAATCATTTATGCAAGTATCTGAATTAATTCCAATATTCCTCTTTCTTTATATCACTTAAAGATTTATTATCTTGTTTTATTTTTATTTTAGAGCCATCATGACCATGCTGATTACTGATACCATCAAGCTATATAATCATTATTTGAAATTGCACTGCCCAAGACCAGCACGACCAGTGGATTCCCTAGCCCAGGTTGGACGACGCCTTCATTGCATTGAATTATGACTGACGTCCAGGGTATTAATTCTGCTACCATAGCGAAAAAATTCTAAAACATTTTTTTCATATTTTTACCTGATGAGGAAGCTGAATTTTCGTTTACATATGCCTTGTGTCCAGAATTGTGCATATGCTGGGTTCAGAAAAGGGAAATATGTCCGCGGGCGGCATGTTTACTGAAAATAAACCCCAAGTTCTACACTTTCGTTGAAAACATTTTCAGCACGAACTCCCTGCGTGAAGACGTACATGCGCATGCTGTTTGCTGCCGTGACGGCAGCGTGCTACACGCGTGAGCATAATCTTCACATGGGGAGTTCGTACTGAAAATGTTTTCAACGAAAGCGTGGATTTGCGGTCTATGTTCGGTAAACACGCCGCCCGCTGACATATTTGCCTTTTCTAAACCCAGCGCATGCACAATTCTGGACACAAGCCGGCAAGGAAGGAATATGTATTGTAATGTAAGCGAAATTTCAGCTTCCTCCGTCATCAGGTAAACTAAAAATATGCAAAAAATGTGTTATAATATTTTTCGCTATGGCAGAAGAGATTCATACCTGAACGAAGTCCAACCTGGGCCATGGATTCCCTACCTGCGCTGCAGCCGCGCCGTTGCCCGTACACGTACACGCGCGCCCGCACCACCGCCCGCACGCCACACAGGCTACGGCCGGTCATGACCGACGACGCTGACGGCACCGACAAACCAGCGAACGTACATGACGTATGTTACACATTACCAGGCCAATATCACTACAATGGTAATCAATAGAGACACGAAAAATCACGAAATAGAAATTAAAACAATATGTCACCAGATGCTTGCCACTAAATTTCATTTGCTACAATAACTCCGCCAGAAAATTAATATTTATGGATGCAATTTGACTTACCCGTTTGATTCGTCCGCCATTTTTGTTTGGAATGCCGTATCATGTCAAAGGTCAAAGTTTGCATGATTTGTATTTTTTGTAACTAGTTGAGTACGCTTTAACCATTGATCTCCATATACACAGACTGGATAGGACATCGCGTCGTGTTTGTGCACGAATGCGCGGCCGAACAATGGCGGCGCGTTTACTGTCAGACGGGTAAACGCGCATTGTGCTTTCACTTTGTTTACTTTGGAAAATGGACTATTGTGTGGAATTTTTCTTACAGAAGGGAGTTCAAGCGTTCCTCCAAAACAATCTTTAAAAAAAAATAACTGAACGATGAAGAGTTACCCTCAATCCCTCCAAACAGCTTTTCCACACTTTCTTGATATACACTTTCTTATTATGCATTTTCGAAATTCAAGAACCCCCCCCCCTTTCCTTTTCCCTTATTTTTTTTTTAAATCCCTCCTCCTCCCAAAAATGATTGTAAGTAAATTGCCATTTCATTTTTGGCACATTGGTCATTAGAGCACACTGAATTACTCCATCAACGAAATGAATAATTGTATTAATAATATGCTAAAATGACATCATATTTTTTTAACTGAACACTCACACGAGAAATTGTATGGATATTCATTCAAATGATTGATATATTTATTGAAAAACCTGAACATACATCAATTACAATCTAAAAGGTAACAACCCTTAATTTTACAAAGTTATCAGTAAAAACTTCTTCCCGTCCCTAGATTGATCAGGGAATGACATCGTTCACCTCTTGTGATATTGTGTGAAAGGAGATGAATCACAAACCAAAATAGTACTATACTTATTATGTCAAAGAATAATTCAAGCTACGCACGGTCTTGTTTATAATTAAATGTTTAGCTATACTTCTGAAAATAAATATAATTACTTGTAAGTGTAATGGGAATCGTTTTTGTGAGCGAATATGGCGGTGTATATGGCTATAGCTAGTAATCTTATATAACGGCGTACACAACATAATTTCAAACCGTAAAAGTACTCATTGCTTTCTTCACCATACAAACTGTCAAAATGTGACAGTCATCTTGGAAGCTCATAAAAATACTTGCGTTGAACTCCACAACTTCTGGAGTAGGCGCTAAGCCAAGGTAGCTCGGAGGGTACCGAAGTTCCAGCGCTTCACTGAGTAGAGCTAAAGCCAAGGCAGACATAATTCAATCAGATTTTGCATATAAAAGTTATAAAGGTTATTTGAATAAACTATTTTAAACCAATCAACTTTTGTTCATTGCCATTGCCGGGTCAGTCATGCACGTTTAGGCCTATGTCTTAAAAAAACATGGACGGCGAGCAGCATGACAGGTCTAGATCGCATGGAATTTGAACAGAATATCTCGCTAGCTACCACACAGGCCTCCATCCCCCCAAACTCAGAGCGACAACACTAACGATATTATAATTTGCTATGTTTATATTCCTCCATGCCACGTTGTATAGGCCTCGTTAAAAAACAACTTACTTGCGAATAATTGTCCTATTCTTCAACGCTCCTTACTTCCCGACTCCAGCAATCTAATGCTGCGCACACCTTGACTATACTCCTCGTCGATTTTGATCAATTTAGATCTCTGTTTCTTTTATTTTTTCAAAAATGACAAAGAAACCGAAGAAAACCCAACTTCATTTTTTAATCCTCCGTTCGAAAGTGTACACAACCCGAATGCGAAATTGTGTTCTTTACCCTTTTCAAAAAACGCGCGCGCGGACGCACGTTCGTACGCGATGTCCTATCCAGTCTGTGTATATGGAGATCAATGGCTTTAACTAGTCAGCTAATTAATAATGGCGAGTTAAAAGTAACAAAACGATGTAATATCTATTCTAATAAATGTAATTTTTCAATATTTTGAACTTTAGCTAATTTATGATTGACGTTTTCTTTCATTTTTTGTGAGGAATACAACGGTCAAGAGAAGGGGTCAATTTTAACCCGGTTTGATTTTTGTCAAATTAACCTACGGGGTCGTGAGACAAGACATGCGCACATTGTAGGTGGCGCGAAAGGCGAAAGGGACTTGTCATCAAAAATGGTATTGATTTCCCTCTGATTTTGAATCGTTATTAATATTATCATTAATAAATAATGATTAGATTAAACATAATTGATTTTCCCCCGTATTTTGCCACACTCCGATCTGCACTAATCAACAATAAGGATCGGCATATTTGATTATGGAGGAATGATTCAATTTCAATGCCTGTCAAGTAGACTGACTAGTTTATGGTCAACATAAATTTCATTGTGCCACACACATGCATAACTTTTTCTTAGCAATAGCATTGATCATCAAGCATAGATGTTTAGCATGTCAACACGATTACGGATTAGTACTTTAGTAGATTTTGCCCATCCTTCCCATGAGATCATTGATGGGATAAAGCATTAAACAGTGAAGGAAAATTTGAAAGATCTTGATTAAAAATTATTTAAAGTTAAACTTTATTTATCTCAATATCTGCAGTCAGAAACCAAGGACATCCGCAGTTTTTTTGGAGTAACAACATCCAAGTCTAAATCAAATCAGATCAGCAAGTCATCATCTGGCAAGAGACAACCTAATGGCACTGGAGGAAAGCGAAAGAGACAACTGGAAGATGAAGATGATGATTTCACAGATTCAGGGAAGAGCAGAAAAGGAACTGGAAGCAAGCCAGCTAAAATAAAAAAGTCGGCCGTCATATATGATTCAGGTCAGTCCTGTTTTATCATGAAACTTGACTCTAGAAAGCTTAGTCCAAAATTACAAAGAACCAAGATAATCCTGATTTTTTTCTCAGAAATACATTTTTAAAATCATTCATCTGATTTTTTTTTTTTAGATTCTGATGAAGAACCCACATCTTCCAAAGGAAAAGGTGATATTTTCTTTGTCTAATGCAACAATTGATCATTTAAACAATGATAAAGAACTGAAAAAAAATCTAACGTGAGCAGACTGTAAAAAATGTAACATTATTAGTGGAGAAATAATTGTACAGTTTAACACATTGTACACATAGACGATCATAGTTGCTATTATTAAAAAAATTCTCGCATTTCTCGATCGTTTTTTTTTCTCCTAGGCAAGACTGGTTCAAGTTCTTCCAAGGCTGCCTCCTCTAAACAGTCCAAGAAACTCTTGTCTCCTTCTCCTCCTAAGCAAAAGGTCATAACTGTGTCAGATTTCTTCGGCTCCAGTCCAGTACAAAGATCGGCTAAGAAAGTGCCTGCCAAGAAGCAAGAAGTAAATCCTGAGTTTTATTGAAATTTGTTTTACAGAGAGCATTTCAAAATGGTTTCAAAAATATGTCAAAACATTTTTTTTTTGTGAGTTACTCATCTCTTTGAACTTTTTTTGATCACTTTTTCTTCAGCTGGATATTGAAATCACCCCAAAGAAACCTAAGCTAACAGTTGAGCAGCATGATGACCCAGACTTTCAGGAGACATTGGAGCTACTTGACAAGGACCACAAAACACCTACAAAGGTACTGTCAGTGGAATATTCATTGAGGGATTAGTTTGGCCTTGCTCAGTGAAATGTGACAATGTAGGCTTCACAATTAATCAATTTTCATATCGTAGAATAGAGGGAGAGATGAATTCAAACCTTTAAAGAGAGATATTTGTGACTACAGGCACATCAGGGATCCAATGACTTGTGACAAAAAAAGTTCAGTCCTTTTCCTGTTCATTTCTTTATTGCGCATTTGTAGAAGCTGAGAACTGAGGACATCAAATCAGCAGAAAAACCCTCCCCTTCAAGGAGAAGTCCAAGGATCTATAAGATGGATGTCAGTCCTGCTTTAAAGAAAGGTTGGTCGATCACCTCAAGTTTGTTTCAGTTCCAACATAGTCACCTCAGTAATTGCATTTTGATAACTAAGACTTTGTAATCTGAATTTACATGTAACATGAAGTTTACATAATTACACTGTCTTTAAAACCAAAGGTAAAGGCTTAGCAAGTAAGATAGCAGAGAAGGTCAAAGCTACGAGTAAAACTTTGGTGGAAGAGACTCCAGAGAGAGGTGAAGGTGAAAGGTCACGGTCAAGGTCAAATGTCATTGTGGAGGAAACACCACAGAGACCCTCCAACAGAAGAGCTCAGACATCTGTGAGTTAATTTTCATTTAGTAAAAGAAACCCCACCTCCAAATCCCCTGAACTGTCTAAACGGCTTTGTAGCTTCACAGTGTAAACTGTAACTTTTGCAAGTGTCGTGTTGCATGTCAAAGTGCACATATAGCCTTTTTTTTTTCATTGTGAAAATTCCAAAAAATGACATTCCAAACCTTTCTTTTTCTTTGTCTGAGAAGCGGCAACATGTAACTAATTTGTAAAGTTGGTTGCAGGTACAACTGATCTTATAATCTAGAACTGGTTCCTGGCATCAGCAGTCGGGTGCTCGGGTACCCGGTTCCGATGCCCCCCCCCCCCAATAAAACAACAAACTTAATGTTTACAATTCTTGACTCTTCGATGTTTTAGAATGTCACACCCTCCAAAGCGACGCCCACAAAAGCCACACCCAAGAGAGTCACACCCAAGAAAGGTACGCCTTCTAAAGCTACACCATCCAAACCAGCATCCTCTACACCATCCAAACCAGCATCCTCTACACCATCCAAACCAGCATCCTCTACACCATCCAAACCAGCATCCTCCAAAGATACACCCACTGCCAAACCTGCTCCATCAAAAACCACTCCCACAAAGACCCAAAGTCCTGTGGGCGGGGATTCAGCTGAAAAGAAGAAAGGAGGAGGGGCTAATTATCGAAGATATCTTAGTAGAGACGGACCACGATCACTGGGAGCAAAGGAGATGCCACAAGTAATTATAAGTCTTTCTTCTTGGTCATTGATGTCAATGTTATATTTTTGAAGGACTTCATTTCAGAACCTCCTTGGTAGCTAACCTGTTAGCAGAAACAGATAAATGATGAAACTGATTCCTAAAAAGTACTTTTGGCTTTAATCTTTTGGAAACTGAGTCAAAGTAAAGGAGGTAAAGAGCATTTGCTAGCCTGTTTCATCTTATGAAATTGAGGATGAGGATGAATTTATACTGTTCCTTTAAGGGTTAACAAGATGAATACACCACAATCTGTTCACTTAACCTAAAAAAACCTCTAATCTAGCTTTTAGCAATACCTCTTCTCTCTATTCAATCCATTTCATTTTTAGGGTGAGGAGAATTGTTTAGCAGGTCTTACGTTTGTCATCACTGGTGTTCTGGATTACGTAGAGAAGGAGGAAGCCAAACAAGCTATTGAACATCTTGGAGGCAAAGTCACCTCAGGAGTCACTAAGAAGACGTCTTATCTAGTAACGGGACGTGACCCTGGTCCAGCCAAAATCCAAAAGGTTGGTTGGTTTGTTGGATTGTTTGTCTGGCTTAGATGTACAACAGCCCAAGCTATAAAAACAACTGATTGAAAGTATTTGCTCCTTGGGTTTTGCTTTCATTTGTTTCACAGGCTGAAGGACAGGGCACCACGATTCTTACTGAAGATGAACTGTTTGACCTCATCAGGACACGACCAGGAAAGAAACCATCAATAAGTAAGGTGAGCTGAGTCAACTCTTGCCTCTGACCCTTGACTGCATTCCCTGCTAAAAGCCTTGCATTTTGATTATAAAATAAGTATGAATTGTTTTCTTTTCCATTAGGAGGCCAGCAAGCCCAAAGCTGAACCTGTTCCTACAAAGCAACCCTCACTAACAACGCCTTCGACCAAGAAAATGGAGTCACCATCAACATCATCCATGCCGGCCGTAGATTCCAAACCTACTCCAGCAACTGACCAATCAGGCGAGAGCTTACTGTGGGTGGACAAATACAAACCTCAGAATATGAAGCAGCTGATTGGTCAACAGGGAGACCGAAGCTGCGCTAATAAACTTCTGAAGTGGCTGAAGCGGTGGCATGATAATAACTTTGGGCCCAACAAGGAGAGAGGTGAAGATTTATGACATTCTTTAACATGAAAGTTCGTTTCTAGTCCCATTATTGATTCAAATCAGTATTGATGAGAACTATTTTGTGTCTGCTTTATTACTTAAAAATAAAACAGCAAAATTTGATGTTGAAAGTTTACTTTGGTAGGCTGTTTGACGAAAAAAAATTTAGAAAGAGGTTTTTAGAATCACAGAAAAATTGGGCTGTTTTGCTTTGCTCAAATTTATTCTGGAATTGTGTCTTCCAAATAAAACAGCAAAATGTGGAATGTTGAGTTGACTTTGATAGGCCACTTGACTTGAATAACAGGCTACTTTTTAGAAAGAGGTTTTGTAGAATCATTGGACTGTTTTGTTGTTGATCTTTCAAATGCCTGTATATCTCTTTACTAAGAATTAAATCAGTTGATGATAATATTAATATGATCATATTTCTCTTGAATTTGAGATTCCTCAGTAATTATCCTTATGTGTTGCTTACTGTTTATAAATGATATTTTTTTCTTTTCGCCGCTTCCGCAGTTCGCTACAACAAGGACGATGGATTTGGTTTTAAGGCAGCGTTACTCTCAGGCCCTCCAGGAATTGGCAAGACAACTACCGCAGAACTTGTTTGCAAGGTGAGTAAAAAGGAAGCTATTTAGACAGGTGTTTGACTATTGACAGGTGTATTTAAAAAAAAAAAATTTCTCTGTAATTATTGTACGTAGGGGACATGTGAAAGGAAAAGTTGTACATTTAACTTCTTCAGCCAACCCCGGCAAGCTCGGTGGTTAAGTGGTAAAATATCTGCGCTAGTCAGCAGGAGGTAATTCAATCTTACGAACAGCAACTTCTTCATATTCCTTCCTCAATATTGCACATCTTTGTCATTTTCTTATCATGAATGAAAAAGGAGCTTGGTTTCAAGACGTTGGAACTGAACGCAAGTTCATCAAGAAGCAAGAAGACGTTGGATCTCATAATGAAGGAATTCCTCCACACTGACTCAATCGAAGGCTACTTCAAGGTCAAAGGTGAAAGGAGCAAGGGTCAAGAGGTCAAAGTTCACCGGCAGTGTCTGTTGATGGATGAGGTGGATGGGATGTCTGGGAATGAAGACAGGGGAGGTGTTCAGGTAAACGGCTGATTTCAGATCATATCACCAATCTTTGTTTCCTGGTTGTAATCATGTAAGTCACAAGTCACCACATACAATTTAATCACTAGTGAATCACTAGTGAATCATCAGTAAATCACCAGTCAAGCACAAGTCAATCACTAGTCAATCACTAGTCATCCAGTCTCAAGCCAAGTAAGAAGTTATTCAGATGAGGTGTGACAGAGACATTCCTTTGTCCTTGTTAATCCCCTGCTACTTGTAACCTGACGTAAGAATTGACTTGTTTTTGACTCCACTACAACGTTTTTTTGCTAAATTCATTCTTACAAAATCTCATCGCAATGGGTACGAGTTTCATCCCAGGCTATCTTGGGAAAGCAAGTCAAGATTTAAAGTTCTGAGCATTGTAAGTCTATTTCTCATAAATTGACTGACACTTTTGTTCTTTTTCTTTTTTAGGAATTCATTCAGATGATCAAGAAGTCCCATATTCCAGTGATCTGTATGTGTAATGACAGGAACCATCCCAAGATAAGATCTCTCGCCAATCACTGCTTTGATCTTCGCTTCTACCGGCCTCAGGTCAAACAGATCAAGGTATCAATGTTCTGTATGCATTTTCTATTTTCTTCTTGGCTAAAATTCATCCTCATGTACGAGGACCTTATTTTCTGTGTGAAGATTGTGCACTTGTTGAAAAGATACTGTGAAAATTGCTAGTTATATTTGAGGGTACAGTTACCAATTTGTCAGGAATACTTTGTTCACTTTGGAGATGTGGCACCCTTAATCATGGCTTGTCAGAGAGGAATAAAACATTCTTGTGGGAATCTCGTGTTGACGTTTAGCATAGCGGTGCATGATGGGACATATTTTCAGTGAAATATCCCCAAGGATTACCACATGACCCCAAAAATGGCTGTATCCGTGAAACTGTCTGTTACTGATTGCTGTGTGGCAACTGGCAAGTCCAGCCAACAATACTGCCGTCAACTCTTTTCCTGCCAAATTAAACTTTGTTGTAAGTACTCATTTTCTTGCAACCCCATTCAGGGCGCCATGTTGTCAATTGCGTTCAAAGAGGGCGTGTCCATCCCGCCCCAATCCATGGATCACATCATCACTGCGTCCAATCAGGATATTCGACAGGTAAGCCGATCTTCAAATATTAGACATTGCTGGAATGTAGATTTTTCAAACTTGAAACGTAATTTTTTTAAATATTTTAAGCAATATCCAGAGCAATGTTATAATCTCCTCAAATGCCTGATAAAGATTTTGATTGAGAATATTTTTGTTTTTAATTTCAACAGGTGCTTCATAACATGAGTATGTGGAGTGCAGGGATGAAGAAATTGAGTCAAGACCAGGTGGATTCCGATGCTGAGAAAGCTAAGAAAGACCTTAAACTGGTTAGTGGATGGTTTAACAATTCATTAAACTGGTTTATTAAGTGAGCAAGAAAAATTGGTTTTATAGTTTGTTTGCATAGGGGGACATTTATAAAGTTGTTAGAATTGGTAATGTTAAGTTATAGCAATAAGCAGAGAAACCAAGTTAATTAGTAAAAAGGTTTGCTATGATTGCTATTACAAATAATGTTCTCCCTGCCGAATCTGATGACCTGGGAGAAATGTTAACTGACTCGTGACCTTCAGCTTACTAGTGCCGATTAATGAATCAGTTACCTGGTGTTTGTTATTAGGGACCATGGGATGTCTTGAAGCAAGTCTTTGCTTGTGATGCAGAAGCAGAGAAGATGACACTAACAGATAAGATGGGTCTCTTCTTCCATGATTACTCCATCGCTCCGCTGTTTGTTCAAGAGAACTATCTCTCAGTTGCACCCAAGAAAGCAAAGTAAGTCTGGGTTTCTAGGGACGTTCAAGTAAAGCTGCTCTCTTTGCAGCAAATTTCAATCTCTCTTCTTGCATTGTTTTTGCCTGCCACTAATTGCTTGATGTCAGTAGAGGATACTTTTAATGTTGTCAAGTGTTGAGGGCATATATTGCTTTCTATTTGATAGGGGTGACATTAAGAAACATCTCAGTCTTCTAAGCCAAGCAGCGGACAGCATCTGCAGCGGTGATTTAGTGGATAGAGTGGTACGCTCCTCACAACGATGGAGCCTACTTCCTACACAGGTAATTAAAAAATATGCAGTCAACAGATTGTGTGCTTTCCTATGGGAGCCAGCTGGTACGGACGATCAGGAAAGCACACATGTAAACAAAGTGTGACATCATTACAAATGTACATCTTAGGTCTGTTAAAAGCAGTGTTAGCCACTTTTTGAAGTTAGAATCTTCTCAAATATACAGAATTGAACAGGATGTAACATCGTTCTATCTAGGCTATGATCTTTTGAATAATTAAAACTTGTTTTTGATTTGATGATGTCATTGTTTGCCTTGCCTGTACCAGGGCATGTTTCAAAAGTCCCAAAATCATGTCGGACGGAATTTGATAGAACAAAATGTAACAATTTTTGTTTTAGAATACATTAAAATGTTATTCTGATTTCAAACAACACCAAAGACTTTAAGTAATCACACATAACATTATTTCTAAATTCCACACTTTTGTTTGTCTGTTATTACGAAAAATGTGTACATGTCGGACGGAATCGATAGAAATGAGCCTCCTCAGAATTTCAGAAACAAAATCAGATTTTATCAAAACTTGAGGGATAATTTTTTTCCATGTTTTATGTCAAGAAGAGTAACAATCACTACTTATGCTGACGTATATATTTTCTCTACAACACTATGTCATATTCAGTTAAGCTCAGCTGAAGCCACACCATGTCGGACGGAACAAATCATGTCGGACGGAATCACTATGTTGACCCAAAAACAAAGTTTGAAGAAACTTAATTTTAATGATAGTGGTCTTTAGGTAGTTGACTGTGCTTACCACCTGGGCACTTATAATGAACAAATAATCAAGCTTCTTACAATTGTGTGAGAAAGATTATTAAAAATCCGTCCGACATGCTTCATTCCGTCCGACATGATTTTCAGTACATCAGTTTACATCCTCTGTACAAACATGAATAATTGCAGTCTTCAGACAGGTTTTTTAGCTAACAAATATTATCCACTTCAGGTCCATGTGCAATGTCTAAATTTTCTGACAAAATGCATTCAGAATATTACTACTTGTGGTTTAAAATATATCTAATTTATACAGGAACAATTGCCAATATTTGCGCAATTTTTCGCATTCGGCACTCACAAAAGGCATGCTAAAAAAGGACCCTCGTTTATACGAAAAGGACACTCTTTGAAAAATATTGTGGGTGGGGGGCAGATGTGGATTCGGGGGGGGGAGGGTGGTTTGGGGGTAAAAACAAAACCCAGCGCTGTAAAAAAAATTGTTTTCCCCTAGAAATTAATTTTAAAAATGTTAACCCCCCCCCCCCCCACTCCGACACCCAAATTTTTTTTTACTGGCAATAATGTTCGCCTTTGCACAAAATACGGACAGAGCCAGCTTGGTTAGGGGGCATACCGGTACATGTACCGGTATGTACATGTACACCATTTCGTGATATATTGTTAATAATTGTCGGATTGAACAGCGCCCCCATTGAAAGTATGGTACAAGCCCCCCCCCCCCCCCCCCAAGTGTCCAGAGAACAAAAACCCTGTCTATATTTCAAATCTTGTTGCCGATGAAACCCCCCCCCCCCTCCCCCAGGGCGAAAATTCCTGGATCCGCCCTTGGGGGGGGGGGGGGGGGTTAACCGCTAGTGGAAAAAGGCAAATAATAGCAATCATAAAATATTGGGGGGGGGGGGGGCGGGGGGGGGGGGGGGGGGGGGGCGGCTACACAGCTTCACTTTGGCACACTTTCTTTTTGTGTGTTCTATCCTTAAATTTCACAAGTTCATTTTTCCTTGTGTGTATTTCTCATGTGTAATTGCTCCCTGATCTTGCTATTCCGCTCTCTTTCTTTGGCATGGCACTCTTCTGGATGCATTGATGCTCTGTATATGTATAGCATTTTACAGCTAACAGCATTGTTTCACTGCTCTGACACATTATAACGATAATTTCCAAATTATTAAGTTCATGTAACACAATAGACATGTTTGGTTTATTTAGATAAAAACATATATGCCAGTATAGGTGAGTTTTACACACACATACCGGTACATGTACTTGCCAAATTACCTGGATACAGTTTAAATTCCCTCACCTACGGTACTTTGTAATAATGTCTACCGAACCTCACTACCTTAACACAAATATGTAAAAGCCATCATCAGTCCAAAAAGAATAAAATGTACATGATTATGATTAATGTACATTGCACAGTTTAATTCCCATGAATATAGAAGGTTGCCTTAATTATTGGAAACACCAAGGTGTGTGACTGGTCAGTAGGCTGCCAAACAAGTCAGCCTGTTCAACTTTGGCTAAATTTGGATTTTCGCATGTCGGACGGAATCTTACTGTCCTGTGTAGGCTTTGCTTTGATGGTACTGAAATGAGCAAAGAACAATATCAACTTGGAAAAAGTTCTATATCCCCTACTTTATGTTTATTAATTAACAATAATTAATATCAGTTCCCCGAGGCACAACTATCTAGGAATGTAAAGTGCATTTCCGTCCGACATATACCATTCCGTCCGACATGCATGTCGGACGGAAAGCACTTTTATTCACTTTATCTCGAAGGGTGACAAGGTGAAACATAAAACTTTTTGTTGGTGTTAATACTGAGTCTATTCATTGATACTTGACAATATTTGCCTTTTTATTAAAACAAGTAAATTAAAAAAAAAAAACATTTTAACAACCTTAAGCATGTCGGACGGAAATCTTGACAACAAAAATTATCATTTGAAATGAAATACCAAGATTTACGGCAGCAGCAATAATGATGAAATGGATAATGACTGAAGACAATCTAAGTTATTGTTTTTGTGGAAAAGATAGAATTCAAGGCATTTGTACTTATTATGAGAAGGGTTTTCTTTAAATGCAAAAAATTCCGTCCGACATGAATTGATTTCACTGGCCACACTATTAAAGCAACTTTTCACTGAGATAAGTATGTAAATTTAATTTTTTTTATTCAAAATAGTAAAATTAGGTTAATCTGCTTTAAAAATAAGGATTTGTAAATCTTGTTTAAGGCTTTTTAATTTTTTACCTCTATGATGACCACTTTTGAAACATGCCCACCTGTAGGCCATCTTTGCAAGTGTTGTGCCAGGTGGGGCAATGAAGGGTTACATGCGAGGTATGATCACGTTCCCTAGCTGGTTAGGAAAGAATTCAACAAGGAACAAGAATCGTCGCCTGCTACAGGAAATTCAGCAACATATGAGATTATCGTGAGTAAATGAACATGACTTTCAATATCTTCATGTACTACCGATGCTCATGAGGCCATAAACATCGCGAGATACGAGTTGTATCAGATAACCCTTGCACTGGTGGTCTAGATGAATATTCTGGCCGAGTATTCTGTCTGATACTTAATTTCACGCTGGCTCTTTTCGGAATCAACAGAAACTCACAGAACAGGTTTCAATTCACGTTATACTATCACAATTGTAATCCTATTTTCAGATTTAATACAAATTGCAAAAAGGTCAAAGGGCCTCATCAGTAAGACACAATTTGTATCACTTTTCTTGACATTACCTTTCATTTGACATTGCAGTTCCTCAGGCAGCATTAATGACATCAACCTTGACTACGTACCTCGTCTGCGTGACTTCTTGACCCGACCTTTGCTGACCCAGGAGACAGAGGGTGTGTCAGAGGTTGTAGAGTTGCTCAATAGCTATGATCTGACTAGAGAAGACTTTGATACAGTACTAGAAGTGAGTCAGTTTGAAGGAAGGAAGAAGCCTATGGCAGGAGTTCCACCCAAGGTTTGTTGCTAATCATCACAATTGACTTGTACAGTTAGATGTTTAAGACACATATGACTTAAGATGAAATGCTTACGTTGGGAGGATGTGAATTTTGTACGTGAAGAGCAAGACCGACGCTTACAATATTAATATCCATAGGTGAAAGGTGCCTTCACACGAGCATTCAACAAGGAGGGTCACATGGTGCCATATGCATATGGCGACATCAGCAAGAAAGGTAAGGGTGCCATGGCAACAGATGCGATGGAAGGCTATGGTGAGGGAGAGGAAGGGGCGGAGACTGTCATAGAGGAGGATAGTGATGACGATGACATCAGCAAGAATGCTATGATTAAGGTGAGTAGACACTGTACGGTTATCATTTAATTACAAATGGCTGTCCGTGTAAAAAGAATGGCTCTCTACACTTTCTGAACTTCTTTCAAACAAGCAACTTTTGGTCTAAAATACTTTGTATTCTTGCAGTTTTGAAATCATTTTGTGATAGTTTTTCTAACAGAAAACATTCTTCCTATTATAGAACCTAGTGTTCAATATTTTCATATTTGTGATAGTTTTTCTAACAGAAAACATTCTTCCTATTATAGAACCTAGTGTTCAATATTTTCATATTTGCCAGGTCCAAGCTGCCAAGGGTCAGACAAGCAGCAAAGCTAAGGCCAAAGGTGACGGGTCAAAGGGCAAAGCTCCAGCTAAAGGAAGGGGAACTGCGAAAGGAAAAACAAAAGCCAAAAAGTAGATATGGACATGTCAAACAAAAGTTACAAAATATATATAGTAAACTGGAGTCTCTAGCATACCAAGAACACACTGGATGGCTTATTATAGTTGTAAATGTGATGTTCAGTGATTTAATTTGGTCATCAGGTTACCTTGCTATTTCAAAGTGCCTCCATATCGTTAACTGTACACTTTCATGGCATAAATAAATAAAAAAAAAAAAATAGGCAGTTGTAAATTCCTTGATACTTCATTATACACCTCGTTAATTGCTGCTTACATCAAAGCTTTAAAATGCACAAACAAATTAATAGTGAAGATATATGCCCATCCCCCTCCCTCACCCCTACCTTACCACACCCTACGCCTGCCCCACCCCAAACTGCTCCTCGTCAGATCTCAAAGTTTGGCTCAATTTTTAAAGCGTCAGGTTGTGGATTTTTGGTCCATTGCATAACGCATACTGTATACAAATCCATGTACTTTGTATACATGGTGTAAAATTATCCGGGATGTGCATTTGATCACTCCAACTGCAGTCCTTGCCTCTAAGAGAAGTCGGGAGAGGGACAATTGTGTTTTGCATACATGTTTTGTATAAAGTTGTCATGTCTTTTATAAAACAAGTAATGCATGACTCTATAATGTTTAAGAGCTGTATCTTGTGCTATGCATGAAAAGTTCTCATAATTTCCCTATACTCAAGGTATACATTATTTTGGAAGTACACATACACTTGGTGTAATTGGGTATATTTTTGTAATAATGGTTTCATAATCAGTGGGTGATTGAAATAAATACAACTTGTCACCACAGTTATATCAGATTTGTGTGTTCTTTACGTGTTACAGGGAATAAATTGGCTACAAGTTCAGTAAATAAAAGACACACAGGATCACTGAAACCAACTTACATCCTCTTTAACAACTTACATCCTCTTTAACATAAAAGCAATATTATTATAAAGCAATGCAGATGAGTTTTAATTTGTTTCACCTCTTGCCACTAAGTGCAATGTCCTTGAAATTTCCCTTCACCTATAATCAACTTGAGCAATGAGCATGTTCAATTGTTTTGTCTTCATGGGTTAAAAACCTTTTGAACTGATGGGCAGATTCAGGTTGCTGATATTACTGTACTAGCACACTTTTATTTTCAGTGCTAACATCCACACTTGTATGTCTGTGATGCACAGACCACAGAGCCGGCATAAACTGCGGCTTCATTGTTTCCAGGAAGTGTTGTCGCCATCTTCGCTCAAATTTCTCAAGTCCATTCTCTTCTTTCATCACCATGGCAATGACCTTATCACCATGTGACCCCTGATAATCCTCGTTCTCACACTTCACATTCATAGTGGTCGTCTGATTGATTAAGTCGTCATCCACATGCTCGACATTCCAGATCTTGGAAAGGAACTTTTTTAACTCTGTGACACGCTGATCTGGAAGTGTTCCAAATTTCTTGTGTCGCTGAAGAGCCTTCGCAGCTGAACGAGCCTTGATTTTCTCCGGATCCTCACGATAGCGAGCATTGGTAGAGTTTGTGATTGGTGCTTTGTATTCCTCGACAAGTTCTTGGCGGATAATACGGTCGTAGCTGGAACTGAGTTGATGACAAGGAAGACAAAGGAGGAGAACATCATGTGACGTATGTTTCTTCAGCCTCTCTGGAAAATGTCTGGAAGTAATAAGACATTGATAAGAACGATCAAAAACAATGCAGGAGGAAAAAAGACGAGTGTCATCACCAAACATCTACATGTACATCTACATGTAAGCATATCTCCCATTTTTAACATATAACATTATTTTTACCACTTATTTTGGTTTTCCACTAACCAGTTTAACCCATTAGCACTTGTACTACATTGTATAACATTTACTTAATTCACAACAGAATCAATAAAACCATAGAGTACTTGAGCGGTTTTGGGCGCTACAGTGAGTAAAAGGCACGGCAGTTTCGGGTGCTATAGTTAACAAACTCAGGTTTTGACTTAATAATGACAACCCATTACCTTCGATATTCATGAGGCACTATGTTCTTCCTGATGTAAGAGTCTTCTCGGCCGCACACTACACACCTATTGGCCTTGTCCTGTAAGTAATATCCTCTATCTAAGCCCGGCATTCCAGACGGCTCAAAATTCAGACGGACTGTGAAAGGCTCCTGGCATTCCACCGTACCGATTCCTTTCTTCACATACCATTCTGCTTTTTGTCTATGACAAGTGCACAACATTTGACCATCGGGTGCAATTAAACGGCAGTTGTGGTACATCTGCGTCTGCCGTGGCTTGTAAGCATTGCTAGATTTATTGACCAAGACCTTATCTCCGCCTACAGTCAGAACGTTTGTGTTGGTCTTTCTTTCTGAGGCCTTGTTTTTATATTTTACATCCACCAGACCCTGGCACATTGTTCTTACTTCACTCCAGAAACTTGAATCAGGTTGGTCAGGGATCACCGCCTGCTTCCTGTGAATGATTTCAAGGAATATTTCCATGGCAACAAGTACATCTTGTGCAGCATATTTCACTTGTTGTGCTGACAGTGTATCTGCTTCCCAATCTCCACAACGGATGGTGTATGATTTATCCAGCGATTCATCAAGATAGATCTTGGCTAGATTTCCGAGACCTCCTGTGAACTTTGACCTGAGGTCACGCTGCAGGTGCCGATAAGCCAGGTGTCGTAGATCCAAACATCCTTTTGTTAGAAGGCCATGATCGTTAAAAAGGCGATTTGCGTCATCAAGAACTGCCACGCCAACTTTAAAGATGCTTGAAAAATAGACAAGGGAAACATAATCACTTAAAGTGAATTTAACAGGTCTTCAATGGCGCTTTCATCTTCAAGTCAGCACTTTGAGAAGGCTTCAAAATAATTGTGGGCTTTGTCAGCACAAAAACAAACACAAACAAAGAAAAATCACAAGGGGGGGGGTGTAACTGAAAGGATTATACATGCATTGCAGTTGACACAGAAATGTCCTACAATGAATACTGACCTTTTGTCCATTAGGAGAACCTTCAAGCTTTCTGGCAGACGGTTGGTTTTCAGTTTACAGAGTCGAATCAACACTGAATATCCACTGGCTGTGGCTAACTGAAGCAGAGCAACGGACCGACGTCGACCACACCTCTCACTGCACCACTCACAGTCAAGACTCATCACCTGAGGAAAATTGACGCACAAAAAAAAAACCACAAAAAAAAAATCAAGGCTAAACATAAAGTAGAATCTAGCATGGATCCTGGAATGTGAGATATGAAAAATCAAAATTTTGCTGAAAATGATGATTATCATTTTTAAGGATTTTTAATCCATCAGATAAGCAAAAAAATTGTTCTTTTCCCATGACTGAGAAACTGCATGAAGAAAATTTGTATAGTAGTGTTCCCTAACGTGGCGCACTTCGAAGCTTACCCAACTTTCCTTGTGTAGTGTTGCCAAACCTCTTTGTTGACAAACCTCAAATTCATGCAGTAAAATACTGGTACTTTGACCTTATTAATGCATGCTATTTAACCTCTGTGAACTATTTCGGTTTCATAAAATTTAATCCGAAATTCAAAAACGGTGGCATCCGGAAATTGGGCACAAATTCGCGGAGTGTTCCCTAACGTGGCGCACTTAAATAAATCTCGGAAAAATTCCAAATTAACATTTAAGAATTTCTGCTAACTTGATAAATTCTGATAAATCATTATTATCTCTACTTACATACCCAGCCAGATGTTTGTCAGAAAATTATTTTCTTATTTTTCGGGGCATTTTCAAAGTGTTCACTTTGCACTTGAAAATAAAATCGGAAAATCACGCCAAAATATTTTTTTCTTCTTACTTTGTAACAGGTGAATAAAATCACGATTTATGAACAGGAGTGTTTAGAACTTGATGAAATGTCACTTTCTGTGAAATTTCAGTTAAAACTTTTGCTCTAGCTAGGCGCTACAGGCGAAAAATCAAAGTGCGCCACGTTGGGGGCCGCGCCACGTTAGGGTACATCAACAATACTAAATATTAAAAACCCTTTCATAAAATTACTCTCAGTAAATAAATGTGACACTATTTGCTTTCCAGCAGTTGTTTATTTGTCCTCAAGCAATGACAACAGCATTTGAAACAAGCAGGATACAAAATAATAGCAAAATGGTAAGTCACAGTTCTCGACGGATACCTGCAGTGAACAAACAACAAAAGAAATAGCAATTAATTTTTAGTGACAACTTAGGTTGCAATGAAGAAAAACAAATTTGACTCTGTAAGTGATACCTTAAACTTTGAAGTTTCATCAGAGATTCTGGACAAGGCTGTTTCCAAAGCATCTATGGTTTCCACGACGACAGGATCTTGAGAAGGCATCCGTTTTCTTCTTCTTCCCTTCATCCATTCATATAGAAGGTAGGTTGCCATAGCAACTGCTACCAATGAAAACATGGCAACTTGACTGGTCTTGTTGGCTAACATCACACGAAGGAATTGGTGAACGGAAAATAGCCTTTTTCCTGTAAGGCATAAAAAGAATTGTGTCTGTCATTAATGGGAAAAAAATTAGGTCTTATATTTCATAGAAAAAAAAAAGTTCAGACAACATCCACGCATGATCCAAGTTTACCGTCTTTTTTTTGGTGTAAATTCTGTGACGGTACAAGGATAGATATGTCGATAAATAGCAGCATAATCAAATGTTTACGCCACTTAATTGTAACTTTATTAATGAAGTAGTGTTATGAGTTTGTTGTTTTCGAAAAATCTGTTTATTATCATTATGTAAAAGGCCAGCCCAAATGGATGGCCAAAATAATTATATATTAATGGACACAAAACCATAACATTTCTACAGTAAAATGTGGACGATGGGTTTACCTTTAATTTCCCTCCCCCCACTTTCAAAAACATGGCTCCGCCCTCAATGGCAGTGTATGGATGTATATGTGCAGCCATGGGCATTGCTAGATTTGGACTAAAAATCATAACCTTCAACTTCCTGACAATCTGACATTTGTCTGTCCCTCGAGTAATTTCTGGAAACTTTAAATAAGCCGATCCAACAAAATTTGCCAAAGAACAGGCATTTACTTTAAACTGGTTCCCGCCCCGCATCATCGTTCGATTCAAGAATGATTATCATTTCCAGTGACGGGAACCAGTTTTTATGTACGGGACCCGAACAAAAACACCGTTTTAGCTGATTTTGGGGTAACTTTGACAGATTTTTTTGTTAAAAAACGAGACTGACAGAAAATTTGACAGAATGTTTTTTTTTTGGCAGATTTCTGGCAGAATTCTTCAAGAATGGTTTTGATAGAAAAACATAGCAAATTTGAAAAAAAAATGGTTCCTTTTGTTTAAAAAAGCTTCAATCTGTTCAAACAAACCCTTGCATAATGGGACAGGTTGCTTGGTCTAGGTGCTGAAGTTCATTGGAAACCAGACTCTGTCGTGACGCAATTAAGAAGTATGGGCATTTAGCACTAGTGTCTATGGGAATTTAAATACACGTGAGGGCACTCCGTATTTTCTCGTCAATTTCTTTTCTTTAAAAAGCAAACGCGCTACACAAACACTGCTCACCACGCTCCGATGCTACCATTTGAATTTTGAGGTCGAGCAAAAAAAATTCAGAAGTTTGAACGAAAAGCCTGAGTGATGGAGAGACCAGTATACTATTTTGAATAGTATTCAAATTTTAAGCTCTTTTTATTTTGATTTTCCTAGTTTTGGATCGGTTCAATCAGTTCCAACTCATCAAAACTGCTTCACGCCAAAAAAAAATCACGCGAGAAAATCTTTTTTTTCTTTAGTCAGAAATCAGAACCGAATCAAGCATATTTTCTGATAAAGTATTATTTCATTTTCCAAAAATAGCTCATTCAAGAGAATTCTAGCAAATTTTAAAAAAACTCAAATGATTTTGAAACTTTTGTCCAGGCAGCACAGCTCGAACATCCACATGGACCAAAATTGTTGACCCAGCACAAAATACGTAACACAAAAATTGATTAACATGCGTGTAGTTGGGTCGTTAAGTGCACGTGCTATCCGGAAATTGGCAAAAGCATACGGTCATTCATTGGCGAGAGACTTTACAACTTATTTTGATTCAACAGGCATTCGATGGAAGAGTTTATACGACTGTATGTAGTGCATGAACAAAATATTCGAAATACACGGTATAATTAAGTAATATACCGAGGAGAATTTTTTTCGTGGATTCGCAGCTCCCGCGACTTAGCATAGTCTACAAGTACAAAAAAACATCCAAACATCTGTCGAAGTGCGAGTCGGATATCTGGCCAAAATTCCTCTTCTACTTAAGTACTTCTAGAGATTTTTGTCGGAAAAATCTTTGTGCATCAAGGAGCTTACATTTTCCTTTTCAAAATGCACATCGTCAGAATTTTTTTTATTGAAAACTGATCCAGAAGAGGTAGGTAGGTTTTTATTTGAAGCTATCCGGAACTAGGAAAAATCTGGAACTCGAGTAGGAAAACGACTGCACGGTGTTGGGAGGGGGGAGGTATTACTCCTAGAACTATGAGGCTCCACGTAGTGGAGCCTCATAGGTTCAGAAGCCCGCAAAATTGTTGTCAGCACAAAACACTAATTAAGTACAAAAACGTCCATCCCAAGCAGGCCGTTTTCCACAGAACCGCTGCACAGTTTGCCCCTAAACTCCATACAATACCTCATGACATACTCACGTTATGTGCACCCAACAAACATCGGTGGATTCTGTCTGTTTTTCGGCAAAAATGATGAAAAATATGCCCTTTCCGCACTGAGCCAACCTAACACTTGAAACGAGCACGCGTGCAGAATGATCGCAGTTATTTTCGGTTCGATCGCTCGGAGCGCGCCGCGGGGGGTACGTACTTGCACTTGTACGCATGTGCATACTATCGTTCCGCTCCTACACCATACCCCCCGCGGCGCGCTCCGAGCGATCGAACCGAAAATAACTAGCTGCGATCATTCTGCACGCGTGCTCGTTTCAAGTGTTAGGTTGGCTCAGTGCAGAAAGGGCATATTTTTCATCATTTTTGCCGAAAAACAGACAGAATCCACCGATGTTTGTTGGGTGCACATAACGTGAGTATGTCATGAGGTATTGTATGGAGTTTAGGGGCAAACTGTGCAGCGGTTCTGTGGAAAACGGCCTGCTTGGGATGGACGTTTTTGTACTTAATTAGTGTTTTGTGCTGACAACAATTTTGCGGGCTTCTGAACCTATGAGGCTCCACTACGTGGAGCCTCATAGTTCTAGGAGTAGGGAGGTATGTAGCAACCTTTTCCTGCTAAATCTGACATTTTTGGACAGATTATCCATTTCAATCATGTCAATGGTGGCAGAGGTCACAATAGGAAAAATGGGTGGTGTCCAGATATGGGAGTCTTTCCAGTACGCCAAAGGGAAGTTGAATTTTGAAAATAGTTCAGACTTACCTGATGCACCTGTGACCTAGCCTACCGCTGCATGTTGATATCGGAATAACCAAACAACAGGTGGCGCTCTTCACAATTAACGGTGTCAAATACAACCTCGTTCACGTAGTGTTGAGCGGTACGCACTGACAGGTACATAAATAAAGGAAAGAAAGTTATAAATAAAATTAATCCTGGGGACGAGATTGCGAAAAGTTTCCAAGTCCGAATTCTCCCATCATGCACTGCGAAATCCCAATTCCTATCTCGATAGGATTTTGGAAGTAGGAATCGTTATTCGTTTTCCGTTTTGCTTTCGAAATAGGAATTGGGAATCGATATTCGTTTTCCGTTTAACTGTCGAATGGGGAAGTGGGAATCGTTATTCGTTTTCCGTTTTGCTGTCGAGATGGGATTTTGGATTCGAAGTCCGTTGACTCCGTTATCCGTTTTTCTTTTTGCTTAGGAATTGGGAAATGGTTTTGTTACCCAAATTTTTCTTTTTGCTTAGGAAATGGGAAATGTTTTGTTATCCGTTTTTCTTTTTTAGGCTTACCTAGGAATTTGGGAATGTTCTCTGTATATCAGATTTTCTTTTTGCTTAGGAATTGGGGAAATGGGTTCGTTATCCGTTTTTCTTTAAGCTTAGCTATTTAGAATTAAAGAGTTTAAGATTGTACCGTTAATTGTGAAGAGCGCCGCCTGTTGTTTGATGATATCACCGTTGTCGGAATCATGTCACGGAGTAGCGCAGATGAAGACCGTATTAGCCGATTTTCGGCTAATTTTGACAGAATTTTTGTTAAGAGTTTGACAGAAAAATTTGACAGAATGGATTTTTTTGCAGATTTCTGGCAGAATTCTTCAAAATGGTTAGGTCTATTTGACAGACAAACAGCAAATTTGAACAAAAAAGTGCACACTTGTTTGAAAAACTTCAATCATTGTCAATTCTTTCAAACAAACCCTTGCATAATGGACATGTTGGCTGGTCTAGGTGCTGAGGTTCACTGGGAAACAGATTTTGGAAGGAAATACTACCAATCTGCATGTGATTTTCAGGGTTTATAGTGTATTTCGAGTAATTCTGGGAAATTTGGCAGATTTTTGATAAATCTGACAGATTTTTGATGCGCATTTAGCAGAATTTGGCTCTGACCTTACGGTCACCCTGCCTGCAGCCTGACCGTGCATGTTAAGTCGTCGCGTCGAGGTGAGAGGTATGCGGTAACTCTTTTGCGGATTTCTCCAAATCTAGTGAGTAAAACTTTTCTCTACGACAAGCACATCAATCATATTCACATATTTAATGCATCCGTGGAAAGTTGTGTCTATTTGTATGGTCAGGTGTGTCTTTTAATTTATTTACTGTCGACGGTCGGTCCTAAATTGCAGTGTCACGCAGCCTAATCATACATGGATAGTCTTGTATTTCCGACACCATGTATAGCGCCCTCATTGTTGCGCCCTTGTTTTTGTTTCATTTTGGGGAAAGAATATTGCATCCTGACACCACTTTCTTCATAATATTTCATGTCACTTTTGTCAGTTATTGCAAAAATGTTGACAGACATTAATTTTGGACTGAGATTGAGAAACAGTTGCAATGTTATTGTTAGGAAATCCTACTTTGAAAAAATGGAAATGTTCTTGACCATGTTAACTCTCCATACTAATGCACTGGTCATGCTGGTTACAGTTACAAAAAAACTGTTTAAGTGGCATCACGGCAGGGTAGGCAGGGCCTACATTGTTTCCGTCCAATCATGCCAATACTGTCAGAATAAAGGTAGGCCCCTGAAATTACAAGCACCCACAAGTTAAAATTTTCCTGCATGTTCATTATTTTTTCCTTACTAGATAAGCAAAGATAGAAAAAAAAGCTGAATTGTGATGGATCGACTACTGAGATTGGGTAATGGAATGCCAGGCATGGGTGGACCAGGTGGAGCCAGTGATGCTCCAGTTGTCGACACAGCAGAACAGGTCTATATCTCATCACTAGCACTATTGAAGGTAAATTGTCCTTGTCCAGCATTGTTCTTTGGATAACAAAACTATCCGTTCATGTAATTCTGTCAATGGAAAAGGGAAAGATCTTCCTTAAACCTTCAAATTCCTCCAGGCTGTTTAGGAGGATTTGGAGGATTGAGGCTGAATGGCAAAAAGTGTTGGTGGATTTTGGAGGATGCATTGCGTCAAGTTTGTGGGCTGTCAGCCAAAGAGCCCTGCATTATGATCTATATCATCCGCACTGCTTCTGAATGTCAGCGACACTGCCTCATCCTACTAACTGTGATTGTTGAAGGGTTTGGAAGGATTGAGGCAGTAGTGAACAAATTCAAGAAATAATGGATGATTTTGGAGGATTTAGGCTGTATCTCTATTTTTACATGGTGGCAGTTGGAAAATTTTGTAGGATTAAGGATGATTCCTATCCAAAAGGGCTTAGGGGGTTAGGGTTAAAAAAAAGAAAATATATTTAAAAACACCCATCACTTATAAAAATCGAGGTCTGATCTTCTGATATGTTTCAGTGTTAAAAATATTTACTTTTTTATCTAGTTCTTATTTAAAGTTGTTATTCTTGATAGATAGCAGAATATTTGAAAAAGTTCTACGACTAGCAGAATCATATTGGAGAATAGCCATTGTGCCGTGCTCCTTTAATGATACATTTTCAAACATGTTCATTTGTTTCCTGACAGATGCTGAAGCATGGAAGAGCTGGAGTTCCAATGGAAGTGATGGGTTTAATGTTAGGAGAGTTTGTTGATGATTACACAGTCAGAGTCATTGATGTCTTTGCAATGCCACAATCTGGAACGGTAGGTGGGCATGGACATGCGGGGTATTCTTTACATTGGTTTATCAAGCTCCCAGACCTATGCTCTTGAAATTCAGTGGTTCTTGAGTCTGGAGTGCTGAATGGTAACACATAGCAACCGATGAAAACTGTGTCCAAATGAATAGATGTTCTCATTGGGTGACATCAGCCCACCCCCGTCCGTCTTTCTTCAGTGCCATGGAATGGGATTTCTAATTTAATTCTTAAAGAGATTCTGAAGATTGACCATTGACCTCAAGAGTGACCATTTGCTATAACTGTCATAATCACTGGAATGTTTTTTTCTGCTGAACCACGTGTCTTTTTGAGCACTTATTTATTTCCAGTTTCTATCTCTCTATTTTTCAGGGAGTAAGTGTGGAAGCAGTGGATCCAGTATTTCAGGCAAAGATGTTAGATATGCTCAGGCAAACAGGCAGGTATGTGTCAGAAAAGGTTTAGCAAAAATAAATACATGGCAATCTTTCAAACACTTTATCAGACTTAATCTGTCCAAATTCATATTTGCACTAACCCTGAAGATTGATTTTAGTATTGTTTTCATTGTTTGGTTCGTATTGTAACAGACCAGAGATGGTAGTTGGTTGGTACCACTCCCACCCTGGCTTTGGATGCTGGTTGTCCGGTGTCGACATCAACACACAACAGAGTTTTGAGGCATTATCAGACAGAGCTGTGGCAGTAGTCGTTGACCCGATACAGAGTGTGAAGGGTAAAGTGGTCATCGATGCGTTCAGACTCATCAATACTAACATGATGGTGCTGGGGCAGGAACCGAGACAGACGACCTCCAACTTGGGTCATCTCCAGAAACCATCTATACAGGCACTCATACATGGCTTGAATCGTCACTACTACTCCATTGCTATCAACTACAGAAAGAATGAACTCGAACAGAAGGTAAGCAGTATATTTGTTTATTTCTTTATTTGTTTCTTGTAATGAAATCAAGGATTCCTCAAAAGCACCCTAGGCACTGAAGCTCTCAAGCCTGAAGAAACCTGTAGAGATAAGACAGTGAACTTTAAACTTTAGTCTGTTCTTGGCCTGAAGTTTTGTTCTGCAAGCAGCCAATGTTAAGAAGTGTCTTTGAATTCAGCCAAGGCTTTGCTCGTCTTCACCTTATAATTGTAGAATTGAATTGTTTGCCAGATGCTGTTGAATCTGCACAAGAAGAGCTGGATGGACGGTTTAACTCTGAGAGACTACAACGAGCATTGTAAGCTGAACGAGAAGACAGTCAAGGAGATGCTGGATCTTGCTAAGAGCTATAATAAGGTACAAACACTTGAAAATATTCGCTCCTCCCCTGGATCTTGATCAATACTGCAAGCAAACTATCACTATAGGATGTACAGCTATGACCCTGTAACCATCTTTTTATAAATTTATCACGGGGTAATTTTGTTCTGTTAAGCCTACCAAATCCACTTGGGTTTAAGATATCCGATTCCAGGTGACAAAAAGTGAATTTAACTAGTAAAAACTGCATACCGGCTGGATAGACCTCAAATATTTTAAAACCAATTAAAACCCCAAAATGTCTTATCCCTTGGTTTTGTTCTGGTTCATTTTATCCTGTAGAGTGTGTGGGTACTGCCATACAATGTATGTTTCTTTCACAAAACCTGTGAAATGGATTTAATTTAAAAATATTTTGGTTTTTGTGTTTTTAGGCAGTGGAGGAAGAGGACACAATGACCAAGGAACAGCTTGTTGTCAAAAATGTTGGCAAGTTGGATCCTAAGAGACATCTTGAGGAACATGTTGAAGTCTTGATGACTGCCAATATTGTGCAGTGTGTTGGTGCCATGATGGACACTGTTGTATTTAAGTAACAAGTTGCTTACATGTATATCAATCCTTGGAGGACCACAAAGATGGCGGCGGAATGCAAAAGATCTAAAACTTGTTAGGAATGTGTCAGTTGTCAAAGTGTTCTGCTGAACTTGGGTCTACAAAATCACCAACTACGCGCATGTTGTGTATTTGGTATCCTTTGAAAGGGTCATTTTAAAACAACGTGTAAATTCTTTCACATTGCAAAAGGTTTGTGTTCCGTGATGGCAAGTGAAACAAAAGATAATTTCCTCTATAACTTATTCAAGATGGAGTGTTCTACATTGAAGATTCCTCTTGAGCCTCGCAACATTCTTTTTTGGATTTCAGACCTATGTGACTGCTTATCTCTATGAAATACGTACTGGCAACATGGACATTTTTGTCAAGCTTAAAATTCTCTTAACTTGCCTTTTTGAGGAGTATACAATTCCAACAACTGTGAGAAAAATAACAAAACTGTGGTGAGTCCATCGGCTTTACTAATCTATGTGAAAAAGAATCACCAAAAAAATCTTAGATTGCCAGAAGATTCCACCTCAGTGCCCAATTTCTTGTACATGAATCTGCAATGCAGTGGGCGAGTTTGTACGTCAATTAAATTTGAAGCAAAGTTTGAGGTAGGCAGTTTTTTCACAAAACTCAATTGCTTGGAATTTTTGATGAAGTCATTTATTAAAGTAAAACCCAGCATCTGCTAGTGTTTTTTTTTTGACTGAGAATAGTAAAGTATAAAATGATGCAATGTATGCAGCGCAGGTATAAAATAAAACCATTCTGAATTGTAATATTTTTTGATGAATGGTCTTTATTTCTCTCTTATTTAATATCTTTTTAAAATCAGACCAGAATAGTCACAAAAATGAAAGGCACATTTCAGTTTCATTCTTTTTAACAAACTTCTAGAATATATATTCTAAAACAGCAAATAAAGAAAAAACTTGATCTAATTGTTTTAAAATATATCTAATAAAAGAAAAATGAAATAAAAGCCATTTTCAAAAAATAACAATTTCACACTATCCACACAGCACTCTTGCCGAGGACAGGTTAGTTAAATTCAGGGGCAATAAAAATACAAAGTTTCTTCCAGTGTGTATAACAGTAGAACAAAGACCTCCCCACAGTCGGGGCGCTTTATCGAGAGGTCTATTGTAATGCCTTGGAGCGGTTGCTGCATTGTGTGCAAATTACCTGAAACCTCAGTTATTGCTGTCATACAGTCTACAGGAGGTCATAGAAGTAATCCAATCCTTGTCCTAATTCCCAGATAGATATTCCTGTGCCTAGTTCCTGGGCCAGCTGAAGACGAACTTGAATGGACTAGGAATGAGAACACAAAAAAATTAACAATTTATCATTTATGAAATTGAATAATGAACAGAACACTGCTTTGTTCTGATTTCTGCTGGAAAGCAACAATTAAATATTGGGTTTTGCCCACAAGTTACATCTTGTCGAAACCAACAAGATATAACTTTGTGGCCAAGAAATGGATGTCAAATATTTATCATACCTTGAGTGATGGATAATAGACTTGATGTACCCATGGTCCATCTCTGTAGCAAGAAAAAAAAGGGGGGGGGGACGGGACACAAACAATTGAATTATAATGGTTGTTGAACCTTCTCTACTAGTATCATTCAGCAGATGTGTAAAGGGATTACTGTACCATGAATTAAAGTGCTTATGTTAACTGATTACATGTAGGTGAAGACATAAAATACGATAAATTTGTATTGTTAAATTTACGACATTTATCATTAAAAAAAATATATATTTGACTTGGTAAAACATTTAATTGGACCTGCAATCTGACAGATGCTCTCTCAGCGCAATTCAAGGGATCAGGAGAATACTTACTTCTTGTAATCAAAGACATGCTCTGCTTGTGCTGTATTCCACTTGAGTTTGTGTTTCTTTAGCAAATCGAGATACCTAGATGTCCACAAAAGCAGAAATAGGAAGAAAAGATAAAATTTGAAATTTGGAGAATACAATTGATTAAACAGAACTAAGGACTAATCTGTCTGTCCCATTTTAAGAGGTCAAGCTCATTCATATCACTTCAGAAGTCTTGGGTTCCAGCCCCCCTTTGCAGTTTGTTGTCCAATAACAACTGAAATCTCACCTTGGTCCAATGATAGCCTCAGCTGACTGTGGCCCGTAGTCATACCCATAAAAATTTAGCCCGAGGAGAATCTTAGATCTTTGGTCAGCTTCGTTGTCGGGTGCTATTTCCTTGACACATGATCTGACCCAGTCAATAGGGGAGTTTGGTCCTGGTCTGAAACAAAAGACAAGGAACAAACTTTTAAAAGTCAGTCATAGAAAAGCTGCATCAAGAGATTGTTACAAAGCTGTTCAGGTCCAGAAGTCATTTTTACTCTAACCCTGTATTTTAAAGCAAAAAATCATGTGGGATGTGAGGCAAGGCATAGATAGAGAATCTTAAGCAAAGTGAAATCTGAAATCAGAAGGTTAACCTACGATTGTGCACTTGAGTAGTCGTAGGTCATCAAACTGAATTCATCAACAACTGGATACAGTGTCTTGAAATCACTGCTTGAAAACATTCCGGGACCACTGCAAGAGACGACAGAAAAGGCATCAGAGCATTTTATTAACAACTTGCCGAAGGAATTATTTCTGGTCGAAACCACTATCTTTGGGAAAAGGCAACATATGGGTCATTTATATAGTGTTTGAACAGTACTTCTTACAGTAGCTTTATATTTTACAACACTCCGAGGCCAAACAACGGAGCTTTATTTGCTACGATGTCAGGCCGTGTACAGGCCTAGGGCCAAGTTCAAGTTCAAAACATGGTGTGTACAAAACCACCGATGTGTATACACTGAGAAAGCCTGATGATTTACTAACACCCACCCTCCTGCGAATATACATTGCCAGATCATGTTTACACATCATCTGGCATTAACTGGTTAACTTGGCTTACAAATCAAATGAAATTGACTAGTGGATAATACAGTTATATGGTTCAGTGTGATGTACTACTCACCTGGCCATGACAGGAGGTGGTATCACAAGAACAAGCTTCATATGAGAGTTGTGCATTGCATCTGCTATGTCCACAACCAAGTGCTGAAGTTCTCTACGGAGATAACACATTTACACAATGAAAAATTTTTATGCACCAGATATATTGAACCACAATACAGACTGTGTAACACTTCAGAGAAATCCAACTTACGTTTTGGCTTGTCCTCCTAGCTGGCTCCACACCTCAAGAACTATACCATCAAAACTCTGTTTCTGTACAAATAAAACAAATGTCAATACTTGATATTTCAGGCATCCAGCTCAAGTAATTTGTACAACTTTATAAAATTTGAAGCTCCAGTGCAGATATTAACTGTCAAGATTGTGACACTTAAAAGCAGTGGTTGTTGGTTTATCAATAAATCATGTCAGAATTTTGCAATGAATTTGGTAAACAAGTCATTTGTTGAAATCATGCACATCTGTTTATAATCATCTTAAAGAAACGTAAAATATTTCTCATTCACATTGTGATGGATGAATAAGATTGATGACTATATACTTACTTTATAGTATGCTGCTATTGTCTTTGCTAAGGCTTGAAGTTCTGTCTCTTCTTGAAAAACGGCTATGAAGTCATGTTTGGTCCACTGGTCAAAGAGAAGTCGAGGGTCTGTAATTGAATACAACAGAGATCGATTGAATTCATTATAGCTTCAGGCTTATTAAGATCAATGTTGGATGGAGGTTAAAATAAGGAGAGTCGATTTGATAACAACCAATTTTATTGTTTTTGCAAAGTGAAAATACTTACATATTTTAACACTGCGCTTTCCTTTCTTAACACTTTTCATCCAGCCTAAGATACAATGAAACAAATTTGTACAAATACAAATTGTCAATGGCCCAATTTATATATTTACATATTGAAAAATAATTGATGCTACAATGAAACATACGAAGAAAATAACACAATTGTAATGCATGCAGTGTTATCACTACAGAAATACTACCACCTAATAACATGATTACGAACTTCAATTTGAATGTAAATTTACCTTTATCGATATCCTGTCCTCCATTTATCACATATTCTTCTTCTGACTTTCTTTTCACCTGAAGCCAGACAGGTGAAATAACAGTGAACTTTCCTCCAAAGATCTTAGCAATGTCATAGCCACGGTTGTTCCACTGAAAAATATTTGAATACATGAAATTAAAAAGTAGAAACATCTTGGTAAAATTAAAGTTTACAAAATATTCTAGCTATAAGGTACAATGCCGATGTTAATACTAAAGTCAATTTATGATCACAAGTGAATTTAAGATTTTCTCAAGTGACCTACCGGTGTTACATATCCCAACATCTCTCCATGGAATTGTCTATCTTCCACTTTCTTGCTGCAGAAGTTTCCATTCTCACTCAGGATGTCCTTGGTCCGTGGATTCTCCTGTACTAATCCACGATCTTCAACAGTTTTATCAGAGAGTTTTACATCTTTCTGCAATACATGTACACAATACAATTATCATACAGTTAACAAAATAATTTATCCAAAGTTGTCCCACAATTCAATTCAATGCTACTACATAAACATAGGCAGGCCTACCTGGTTTTTGTTGTTTTGCTTTTTGTCTTTATGTTTGGGTGGCCCTCCTGCATCTGCGATTGGGCTCAAAATCATGCACACAAGAAGAATCACGAAGGTTGAATAGCAAAAAGAAATTGTCATCTTTCTCAACAAACTTGTTTACTTGCACTTGCTAATGGGCGCAGCCATGTTGTAACTTAAACCACGCCCATCTGGCTTAACAAAACAATATTTTTATATCATATAAATATATTCCTAGGAGAGCGTTTTCTTGCATTTTAAAACAATATAAGTAACTTTGTATAAAGTTGTATATTTATAAAAGTCGTATGATTGAAAAGAATCATATTTTTTTTTGTGAGATTATATTTGTATTGGGTTCTAATTCTTTACAGGATATTATGAGCCGGCCAAAATTTGACCAATCAGCGCGTTGTTTCCACAGTCCGGGAAAATTGACTGTAACTTACACGTACATGCACGCACACATAATTATGAACGAACCGAAGAACACGAACCAAAATCATTCGTTTTCGCTGAATAGGCCTAGTAGTAGTAAGTTTTGTTTTTACATTTATAATTCTGTCTCTGTTTAACAGTAGTTAAAACTTTGGGGTGTTGTAAAGCATGTGAATTGACGATGTGAGTTGATGTGAATTGGCATGTGTTTTGATGACCCTGGCCTTGACGATCGATCTGAGAATATCACGCCCTCTACGGTCACAAGGTATTTAAATTACATACATGTACTGTATAGTAGACATCTGTTTTACAACTACATGTACAGTCCTGGTATTACAACTCGGTGGTCCTATTTTGACGCACACGCATTCAATTTGCGTTGGACAGCACGCACGCGGAGTAATTGCAGAATACCCCGCCACTCGGAAATACACCCCTAAAATCACTGGCTACGAGGTTGGAATCACTGCAAAAGAAACAATTCAAGTCCATTGCCAGCTACGCGGATACTGAGTGGGGGTCCATTATTTGAGAACGAAGCAACACAAAATGAATGGGAGTTGCTGAAAAAATTGTAAGTCCAAACCAACCACCCTGTTGGCGGCTACGAGGCTACGGAGTGGGAGTCCCCTTGAATATGCTTGAGAACGAAGCAACACAAAATGAATGGGAGTTGCTGAAAAAATTCTAAGTCCAAACCAACCACCCTACCCTGTTGGCGGCTACGAGGCTACGGAGTGGGAGTCCCCTTGAATTAGCCCCACTAGTGTGGCCGTCGGTATGCTGCGCTGAACCTCTTGGGTTCAGCGCAGCATACCGACGGCCACACTAGTGGGGCTACCCTTGAATATGCTTGAGAACGGAGCAACACAAAATGAATGGGAGTTGCTGAAAAATGTCTAAGTCCAAACCAACTACCCTGTTGGTGGCTACGCGGTCACGAAGTGGGAGTGCAATGGAGCATGACGCATAGCACATACAAGTAGCGCTGAGAATGTTTATTGAGGTCAATCAACCGTGACCTCATAGCCGGCTACGAGGTGGATAGATTGAGTGGCGGGGTATTCTGCAATTGTGCCACGCACGCGTTGCAAGCGTTTACCTGCCCCGATTATGGCGACCTGATTTCAGGGAAAGATTTCCGTACTAGCAATAATACTAATACTAATAGCATGGCTAGACCTCCACTTTTTTTCAATTAATTTTCAAGCGCCAATAAGTTGCAACATTTCCTCCACTTCCCTCCTCTACTGCACCCTCTCCTTTCCTTCAACATGTTCAATCGTCTAGTATATAATTAATCAGTCACTAACTTCATGGAGATCCATTGAGATTCGAACCTCGGACTCTTCTTTGAAACACAACACTTTTAGTTTTACCAGCTAGGCTGTTTGTTGCAATAATCAATCTTTGGACGTATTTAAAGTAGCCACTGAAATAAGACAAATGAAAAACAAAAAAAAATAGTTCTGCTTCCAATTACATGTACATGGCATTTGAAAATAGGGTAGGTACATGTACATGTAGGTAGGGTATTTTATTTTTTTGGCAATTTTCTTTTGTATGACCATATGGAAATGTCTGCTTGTAGTCAAGGGTTAAAGCTTCATGGTTGTGGGTGTTATTTTTCCTCATTTTTCCCATAAAAAAATTCAGAATAGGGTAGGTAGGGAAACCGGAAGCAGAACTATTTTTTTTTTGCCAAATGTAAATATTTGGATCTCTCTGACCATCGCACAGGATCTGCAGTTTTGTGGTAGAATGGACAACAGAAGCAAGCGATACACTTTGGATTCCTACATATTTCCGAGCCAAGAAAGAACTGAAGTCTTCTTTGAACACACAGATTTAGAATCATTTGTGAGTATCGTATGTGGATACCATGACCACCAAAAGACAGAGCTTGGTATTTTTTATTTTCTTTTGTTTTGCATTCTAGACAGTTGTGGCAACTTTTTGGTCAAACTCAAAGATTGAAAAATGTTTGATCTTCTACATATTGCATTGAGAATCAAGTAAAGTGTTTTAAAAATGTTCTATTTTGAAGTTTGTTGTTTATTATTTGTACTTGTAGAATCTGTAAATTTGTTGTTGTTTCTGTAGCATTGTACAGTCAAGTCTTACGCTGGAGCATTCCTGAACACCTGTGGAGGAGTAATTTGCTTTGGAGTGAAGAAGTCTGGACGTGTGATTGGAGTATCTTGCACAAGAGCCCGGGAAGATGCCTACAAACTGGAGGTGGATGACGTCATGAAATTCTTTCAACCAAAAGTCTCTCCAAGTCTGTACAGGTTAGAAAACATTGATTGTTTGGGAAATTAAATTTATATCAGAGGTGATATGAGGTTTTTGGCACATCAATGGTCAAAACATGATATTGGAACTTTTTTGTTAACCTTCCTTTTGTTTGATCCGTCACAAGACAATCCACAATTCATTCCACTTTCCCTTCCCTTCCTTTTAGCCAGGCACCAAGAGTCAGGTCATATTTTTATAGGCTCTGTGACTAGTCATATTCCATCAACAGACAAAAACAGGTACATATGTGACTGATAGTTACATCTGCTTATTCTACGGCCAAATTTAGCATAGCTGTATCAAGTTTCAAGTTTAAATATGACATAGACACCCCAGTATCCACCTCCACACTAGGCTTGCGCACAACAGAACTCAAATCTAGTATTTATGAAGATCTGATCCTAGAGGCCACACAAGGCCTTTCATCAGAAGAGGACCTGTAAGTACCTGTAAGTACCTGTAAGTTTCATTAATACAGTCACAACCAGTCAATCCTGCTTTATGTGAGAAGAGAGCAGTCAGTTGTTTAAAACAGTCACTTGATTTCTTCTGACTACTGGGTCAGGATGTACCAAATGTCTACTAAATTTGTCAGCAGGTTTGTACATTTTTACTCCAGCAGTTCTCTATTTGGAACATAGCCAATTAGCGTGGTAAATGCCTGTTTAAGCTTTGTTGAACTTATTCTACTCAAATTCCTATTCTACTCAAATTTCCTACGCTGCTTATGCCATGCCTATACATTTGTAATTCATTCTGCCAAGCCGTGATTTCAGTTGTCAGAATCTTTTGTTTGCTGTGCATTTTTTATTTTTAACCAGGTTGGATTTTGTTCCCATTGCCACTCTTAATAAGTATGAGATTGACTGGAAAGTGATCTCCCTTCATGTGTCAGCTGGACCTGATATCATGTATATGGATGCTTCAGGGAGGGTAAATATGTTCTCGTAATTTGCAAGGTTCTTATGCATGAACAGTGAATATTTTGTTGTTTCAGTTTAATTAATTAACCCTCCTATGGAAACATGCATTATTGTGAGCCTTGTTATTATTTGGGTCAATATTGGTCAAGACCCCATTGGTTTGTACACAGTATGCCAGGAGGTGTGGAAGACAATTTTGACCGTTTGTGACCTCTTAAATAGTAGTAGGGGAGTAATTATGATCTTGGCCAGTTTTAACAAGTACATAAAGATAATTGCTGGAGCTGAAAGCAAGGCCCGTTAATTATCCAGGACCAGGCCCGTAACCGGTTTTAAATTTACAGTGTTTGTGCTTTTGTTTCTTTCTGCACCAGGTCATGATGATGTCTTCTGAAGGATTATACGGACCATTGTACCCTCAGGAGATACAGCGACTTGCTATCCACAAATACAAACAGGTATTTCTACCTCGCAGTAGTCACAATTGGGGGTTGGGAGGGGGTACAGAAAGGGCTTTGCTACTCTCCCATATACACTCCCTTCATTTTAACCCCCATAGTCACAGCAACAGGCAGTAATTTGCAAGAATGTAAGATTTGTTCCTCTTTTGGTTATTCAACAGGATCTACTCAATGCTGAGAACTTGATGAGGGTGATAACCCCGTACCCCGGGAAACGGGCCAGAAAACATCATAAACGACACAAATCAGGGAAGTCCTCCAAGAATTCAGCGGGATCCCCCAAGGAAGCCACAACCTGCACACAGACATCTCCAGCCCCTCAACCTTCTACCGCTAGTTCCTCAACAGCAAAGGTCTTGTCAACACAGGTCAGTTGTTGCCTTCAATTCTCTTGGTTACAAACCAGGAATGATTTCTTGTTAATATCTGGGATCATTTTGTATGTTGTTGCTGGGAAGATAAGAGGCAACCCGTAACATTTACGCTTGAAAGGGTTGGGTAATGGGCAGAGGTGTATTATGTATATCTCGGCTTTTATAAATCATTCAATTTTAAAAGACATTTATGACAAATTGTTACTTAAAAGTCCCGACGACAACATGCAGGCATGAGATTTTTCAGATTTTTGTCTGAAATTTGACTTTTGAATTTGAGAGCAAGACATTTTCAATGTAGAAAGAAATGCATCTTTCAGACCTGGAATCCAATTTTCAGACGTTTTTTCAGTTGACAATCTCAGTCTTGAAAGTGTTAAAAATATATTCACAATGTCCAATTTCTGAAGATTTCTTGAAGTATAGGGGTGAAAATGTCCACAGTTTGAGAACCATTTTGTTTCAGTACTTAACTTAATTTTGATCAGTCTTCATTTTTTTCATTGACAGACGACACCCGGTTTGATAAACAATGCTCGTGCCCATCATGTGGATGACACATCACAGGTAAAGAAGAGGCACCTGTTATTATATTTTCAACACAATGTTGAAATTCACCTGTTATTAAGTGCAAGCCCATAAATACGTGAACTTAATAATGGTTGAAAGGAAAGAACACCAAGCAATTATCTGCACTTTTCTGCAAGTAGAAATTTGAGTCCTTCATCAGTGGCCCTAACCGTACATGTATATTGAGGGTTTTTTATTGGTAAAATATTTTTTCCTTTGTCTTCTGTAGACCCAAAAATCTGTTGGAAGCTGTACTAATGTGGTCTTATCTGCGACAGAATCTAGTGATGATAGTGTGATAGTTATTGAGGATGTAGATAACACAGTCATCACTATCAGAGACTCGGACTCGGATGCTAGTGTGCTTGTCCTGGACCACACCTGTAGCTCCACGCCAATTCGTAACCCGAGTGACCTCTTTGCGTCACCAGACTGTTCCACTGTTAAGAAGAGGCCTCAGGAACGGCAAGATCCGCAGTCACCAAGTAGGTTTACAGCCAAGGCAGACAGAAAGAGACTCCGGAAAAGTTAAACGGTGTCCGACAACCATCTATTGGAACTGGATATTTTGTTCGCCCTGGATTCACCACAGCTGCACAGCACTGGTTAGTCTATGGAATATCCCTGTGCAGCAAGGGTCTACACAAAATGCGAGCAGATTCAGTGATAAATTATGCAGAGCAAGACTGCGTCTTGGCGTTGAGATTCTGACCATTCAGTGGGCGCCTTCTGTCTTCCGTAACCCATCATCGTACTACAAAAACATGGCATCCAATTTGACCAATCCACAACTTAGTCCACATTTCTGATCAGAATGATGTCACAGTCTCTAAAGACCACTCTGATTGGCTGGTGTGCGGGGTTGCATAAAATGTACATGCTACATGTACATGTATTAAGATGTATCAGACATTCAACTGTGGCTCGCTGCCCATGCGAATGTCTGATCCTCAGACTAAGCTAAGAAAGACAAAACAGTATAATAGTATTCAACACAAGCATTTAAGTATTGCATTGTCTTTATTGATATTTCATACCGGGGTAGTTTGTTTAACTCTTCATTGATAGAGATTTATATCTGAAATTTGTCGCATGATGATAATCAGTCACAGCAAATATATATGTATAGGGGCTCCTGTTGCATCTGTTCAATCATTTCACTGAATCCATCGCAATTACATGTAAAACTGAAATTTATAGTTGCCCAACTACATGTAAGTAGCTCTGTGGTGTGTAAAAAGTGGTGTTGAACGTACAAGTTATTTCTTAGATAAGTTAATTCTCTTTAACCTGTCCGCACCAGGATTATTTTGACAAGAATGGAACTACATGTAGGCGCTGGATTAATTTTCATTTGACCTCAAGCCAGGCGGGTTGAAGCCATCACCCTCCGACAGCGCACTCATATTCCCGGCCTCACTTGCTACAAGTGGGTCGCTGACATATTTCCGGTCTTGCTTGTTGCAGGTTTATCAGTCATTCGATCAGAATTTTGAAAAACTTTTGCATGTATACACATCCTCCGGCGCGAACAGGTTAATGAAAACCTTACAGCATTGAAAAAGTATTGGATCACGAGTCTGTCAAGAATCATAAGAAGATTGAAGATGAATATGTGAGACTATTTGGTCTGCCATTTTTTCCTGCCAATGTTCAGACTTTAAAAAGAATTCTACTCATTATAATCTTTATGTACAGGACACTTCCAATGTTTTTTTTTTTTTTTTACAAATGTGAACATACCGATTACTCTATCGTAACATAATTCATTTATGAAAAATTTTTCCTTTTAATGACAAATGCTGAATGAGATACAAACGCTTCTCCAACAGTGCTTCATTTTACAAATAATGAATGTCTATGGCTGCAATGGTAAAAATAATTTCATGTGGTGACAGATGGAAATCGCCTTCTTGCTTAGAAAATGCCGACACCAAATTACATTTCCGTTGTTCTTTCTATTGCAAGAATGTGAAACAATCATTTGTTTTATACAATAAATCCTCATCATCTGATTGGTCAGAGCCACCAATCATGTGACCATTCAATGGAACTTGTGTTTACCTTGGAATATACATGTACTTTGTTTATATAGATCTTTTATTTCTGTGGGCGGCCAGGCTGTGGTTTGGGACAAATAATTCAATAACGTATTACCTACCAATCAAATGATGGGGATTATTCAGGCATTGTGTGAACAAAAAATCAGTTTCTTAAAATTTATATTGATTGTATTTTGCTGGTTATAAACATGGTTAACACTTCATATATGTACATGTTCATGTAATTTGAGATTCAAATTTGGTTTGGATTTTATGTTGGGACAACAATGTCTTTAAATAACAGAAACAACTTTGTTTAGAGTCATTGCAAATTAAAATAGATTGACTATAGATGAAGTAAAATAACATATGCATGTAACAAGTTGTTATTATACACTTTAAAGTTTAAAATCTTTAATTTTTATAAACAAAAGCATGTGATTTAATGTCCCATACTGATATGATGGACAGTTTTAGTAAACACAAGAACGTCACATTTGTACCTTGAAGGCACTTTGACAAAGCTGCACTTTCCCAAACCCTTCGCGTATTTACAATATATAATTCTCATCACGTTATGCACATAACCCTATTAAAGTACATTATTACTTAATCGTTAACTTACAAATGTACATTGTACAAATTATATAGCAGTCACCTGCATGGGAGGATGTACATTTACACACATGCATAATTTTCGTTGGCCTGTTTTGAGATACATGGACATGTATCATGATCATGGACAACATTGGAGGGTGTTCTACAAAGGAAAACACATTACGTATTTCCACAATTTACCAAAATTATTTCTAACCCTCCTAATTTGTCTGGAAAATCTTTTAAAAATAAAGGCCAATGTAATGCTGTTACAACAGCTTGGTGCCTTGACTGCGCTTATACGTGTACTACATGTACATGTACTATCTCCATTGGAAGTGCATGTACCATCTACTTTTTATGTAAAATAGTCTGTTTCGGTTACAAAATTGGTCAGCGCTCCAACTAGCAGTATTCTGAAACTGGTAATAAAATTGAAACTTTGTAAATTTACAACTGAAATACAGATGTAAATCAGGCTGTTATATGGAAGCAAGATGCTTTGCAGTATTAAAAGAAAATACATATCACTCTACTAGCTTAATATCCTTTATTTTCTGAAAGAAAATCCAGATTTTTCTAAAACTAATTTCATATTTGGCTCAGAATTTTGGCATTTTTGTACAAATAATTTTTACTAATTGACACTCTGACTTCACACAAAGGATAATGACCATCAGGCAAATTCAAGAAGTTTCTGCCTACACATATTACATGTGAGTCAAGATATCTGCAACATCTGCTCTTTGTATGTCAGACAGAATTTTTCGCAAGATTTCCAGAATATCTTTCCTGGACTTCCCTTGCACTGTCTTGAGCTGACAGAAGCATTCTAGAATTTGCGCTGCTGGACTTTTTTCAACTTTGAGGGCCTCTATGCTTGATGCTTTGAAGCCCATTTTTTCAGCAACCAGCCTCCAGTCTCTGCCTAATGCATTCCTCTCGTCCAGACGAACACAGATTTGCCGAAAGGTTTCATCGGAGAGGAAGACATGAGATGCAGACTGGCCTGGATTGAGTTCAGGACGCTTTCTGTTGTAAAGCTCATCCAGACTTAATCCTGCTGTCTCCACCTGTATCAGAGGAAAAAAAAATGAATGAAGAATATATTAGTCATGATCGCAAAGTCATTTCAAAGACTTGGATCTGGTGAACTGTAGAATGTAAATCTGTGCATCAACAGAGACTTGACTCACCTCTGAGACTCCTTGATGTGCAGATGCAGCCATCTTCTCTCTTTGGATTCTCCTCTCTATACGAATTGTATTTTTCAAAATCTTTTCGCAGTTGGCAGCTTTTAAATAAACTCCTGTTAAGACGCTCAACTCCATTGGCATCTTGAAGTGGTCTTGACATTTGATGGGTATAACACAGAACCTTTTTTCGGGGTTCTCAATTGACTGGACCAGAGCTGTCTGGTATCGCATCTCACACCAGCAATCTTTCAGAAAGTTGCCAGATAATAACAGGACTGTGAAACTGCTTCGCTCAAATGCTGAATTAAAGCCAATCTGCTTGAGAAGATTTGCTGGAAATTCGTCAGGACTTGTAACCTTCCAGGAATAGCGCTTGGCATATTCCATGAATTTTTCAACGTGGTGTGTGTCATGTTCGCTGTGTAAGAGAAGAACATCAAAATGTTCCTCTTCCCAAGGGATTGTTTCTTGAGTTGGTGTATGAGGTGATGTTGCCATATTTCTTGCCGATTGATGATAGGGTAGTGGAGAGGACGAAGCAGCAGCAGCCATGTTGAGTTTGCCTTGTATGGTTGATTGGGAGTCGGGTTGTGCCGCGGTGGTAACTTCTCCAATGTCTTCACTAACTGGTGGCACACTATGGGATACTTGGCTACGATGCTCTGATGTCAAAGTGTTTGTTTCTTGGGGTGGAGTACTTGTATGAGGAGCTGTTGGTGCTTGATGAGAAGAAAATACAGGAGCCATAGTTCGTTTCTTAGGAGAAGTGGCTGGTTTTGAGTTGGGTTGTGATGCGGTAGTCCCGTCTTGAATGTCTCTACTGCAAGGGGCTGCAGGCACGGCAGGATGATCAGAGATATGAACTTTAGCCACATCAATATCGTCGACGGGTGCTTGGCCAGTGTCAGTATGAGAATCACCAGTTTTGTTAGCTCTCATTCTTTCATCAGAACATTGAGTGTGGTTTCTGTCCTCAACTCTAGCAAGCTGCCCCTCGGGAAGTACTGTTGAAGGCTTTGTCTGTTGCTGTTCTGGATTCTCCCTGTTTGGACTGATTGCAGTTTTGGTGTCATTCCTAAGATCTGGTTCTTTAGAGGAGGTTATAAGATCCGGCATCTCCTTGTCTTTTACCGGTATGTCTTCTTCAGTGGACTTCTCAGGCATCTCTTGAGTGATTCCTAACTGATCTCGCATATCTAAGGCTTGACCAACATCCTCATTGCTTGGTACTGCGTCCGTTTCTACATCTAAGCTTTCCGTCCTGCTATAGCATCCAGAGTTAGCCTGTGACATACATGTAGGTTTCATCTCCATGCCATCTGGGGGGTATCTTCCTTTAGGTCCATCTAACATTGATTCCTTGAGCTGCAATCTAGCAACATCATCAGTGAGATTTGCCATGATGACAAATATATGCAGAATCTGAAGACAGTCAAAGTAATCCTACACTTGTAATTCTATTAGGAATCCTTGTGCGATGGACTTCATTGCCTACTGAAAGTTTCACATCATTCAGTTCTCTTTTCGCAGACTGGAGGCGAAATCTTCGGATGCAACCTGTAGAAAGCAAGAAGAATACAAGGTGAGTTTTGCCACTTTTTCATTACACATTTACAGTACATGTATTATCCCAATGAAGGTCAGTCATTGAAAAAATGTTGAAAATGCATGAATTTGGGACTGAGAAACATTTGCAACTTCCAAGAAAGTACTTTGAAAATGCACTTGACTGTCCGTAGACTTTGGACACAACCAAAGAAGTGGCATTGATTACTACATTCCTTCCGATCACTGTCATCACAGTACATGTACATAAATGTAGTGAAAAAGAGCATGCTGCTATCATGGGAAAAAAAACATATACATGTAAAGTTAAATCAGTGCTCACCAATGATCTATGAAAGTTTCCAAATTTTGGACGAACGATCCTCCACCAGGACAGGGACATATTGAATCAATGAATCCACAAAAGTCGACTAATACTAGTCCAAAATGGCATTACTATGTATTTTATACAAAAATTTAAGCTACATGTACATCATGTACAATACATGTACATGTGTATGCACATCGAGCATGTATTCAACTCATTTTGCTTACAAATTTTTCAATTCTCGGTCCAATGATACTAAACACATGCTAAATTTGCCAGGGTTTTTTTAAAAAAAAGGCCGGACTCCCTAAGGTGGGGCTTAATCGACAATGAATGAACGATAAATGACGGATGGAACGCGGACACTTTTGGGAGGAATGGACAATCATGACAATCTGACAATGCCAGGGCGGAAAGATTCCCATATCTGGCCATCACTAATTTTCCACTTCAGTGACTATATCAACCATTAACCAATAAAATGATATTATTAAATATGTCCTTTTGTTAAAAAGTCAAAAATAGAAGTTAGAACAGAAAAATATTGAACATGTTGACATGGTTGAACTTGAAGAAGTATTTACAGAGAAAACACTTCGAAATTTTTAGACCAGTCATGCCAGTCTCATAGGATTTGTGCTCAGGTTGTCAAGTAATGACCAGATATGGGAATCTTTCCGCCATTCGCCAATGCATTATGAAGCCAAGGTCGGAGTTGTTTCCTCCATCAGTTGTCCATGGACTAGCCCGACTGCGTCTGGCCGTACAGTACTATCGCAAGCTCTAGCCCGACTGCGTCTGGCCGTACAGTACTATCGCAAGCTCTGTAGTACTACAGAGCTTGCGATAGTACTGTACGGCCAGACGCAGTCGGGCTATCCATGGACTAGCCCGACTGCGTCTGGCCGTACAGTACTATCGCAAGCTCTGTAGTACGGCCAGACGCTGAATGCTTCCAAAAAGACTGAATTTTTGTGGCCGCCGATGTAGCGATTTTGCTACATCTTTCGATCGCAATTATCTTTTCATCCAGGGCACAAATTTCCAAAGTTAAGGTTCGTAGTCGTAGAGCAACTCATACCTTTTTGAAAAAACGTTGTTTGGTCTCAATATTTTCATCCATCTGGCCACAAGACGAATTTCAGTCATCAGATTCCACAAATATCGTCCCCCATGCGATCCCCCATGCGATTTCAAAATGGCGGCCGCGCTGTAATGTATGCAATATGCAGGCGCGCCCGCGCAAACTCATGAATATGCATAAACAATCTGTGACGTACGACCTCGTGTTTTTGGACGTGCGTGCAGCGGGGCCGTACGTCCAAAAACACGAGGTCATACGTCACAGACTGTTTATGCATATTCATGATTTGCGCGGGCGCGCCTGCATATTGCATACATTACAGCGCGGCCGCCATTTTGAAATCGCACGGGGATCGCATGGGGGACGATATTTGTGGAATCTGATGACTGAAATTCGTCTTGTGGCCAGATAGATGAAAATATTGAGACCAAACAACGTTTTTTCCGAAAAGGTATGAGTTGCTCTACGACTACAAACCTTAACTTTGGAAATTTGTGTCCTGGATGAAAAGATAATTGCGATCGAAAGATGTAGCAAAATCGCTACATCGGCGGCCAAAAAAATTCAGTCTTTTTGGAAGCATTCAGCGTCTGGCCGTACTACAGAGCTTGCGATAGTACTGTACGGCCAGACGCAGTCGGGCTATCCATGGACATGATGGACATGGTTGAACTTGGACTTGTTTCAACTTTGAATTGAACCATCTTAATAAATACTCACCACTTTCAAGAAGCCTCAACAGCACTGAAAATGATTGTTAGATTTAGTTTGGTTGATACTGATAGACCCCAGAAACTATAGTTTGTGCTAGTAAGTAGCATTTATCTTCAAATAAATAGGTGAAAAACCCCAGGTGATTTTTTGAGGAATGTCGCAATGAACGTTTGACCGGAAGAGATTTACAGGGTTTCTACGCTTGAGGGCGCCCTTTACAACTTCGCGCGCTTCGAGCAAAACGAGACGAACGACATGAGCGACGGAGGAGATGTATGAACGGGAAATTTCTCTTTTCTTCCAAACCGTAAGTCATGTAAGTTTACGCAAATACATCACTATATTTTAAAAGACTGTGGGAAAGAATGTTGCAGCCTGATGCCACTTCAGCGGTTGTGTACAGAGTTTATGGAGTCACAAAAATAAAACCTTTTCGCGGTAGTAGCTCTACTGAGTGGAGCGTTGAATTACGGGTACCCCTCCATACAAACGCTCCACCGATTTGCCATACTTTGGTAGCACCATACACGGTCGTCATGACGGTATGCATTTTGTGCATGCCCTCGCGAGGACAAGGCCCAAAAAAACTGATAAAGAAAATACAAATGAGGAAGACAGTAACCCTGCATAGATCCACACATTCATGACATTCCATATGACCCCTCAAATTGTTTCAAACAACCGGTAATTTTGGAAAAAGAACAAAATAGTCTGAACTTACCGCTCACAATTAAATGTGTCTGCCGAGTTGCACAGTCTATTTCACTGACATGACTGATGCATAATTCATTGCGCGCGTGTGTGACGTCACTATTGAAGAAAAACAAGTCGCGCTTAATCAATGACTGTTTCATGTACTGATATGTGCCCCGCACCAAAAACCCACAGTCAGACGGCGCGGGTCACACATGACTACATAAAACAGCTATTGAGTAAGCGCAACTTGTTTTTCTTCAATAGTGACGTCACACACGCGCGCAATGAATTATGCATCAGTCATGTCAGTGAAATAGACTGTGCAACTCGGCAGACACATTTAATTGTGAGCGGTAAGTTCAGACTATTTTGTTCTTTTTTCAAAATTACCGGTTGTTTGAAACAATTTGAGGGGTCATATGGAATGTCATGAATGTGTGGATCTATGCAGGGTTACTGTCTTCCTCATTTGTATTTTCTTTATCAGTTTTTTTGGGCCTTGTCCTCGCGAGGGCATGCACAAAATGCATACCGTCATGACGACCGTGTATGGTGCTACCAAAGTATGGCAAATCGGTGGAGCGTTTGTATGGAGGGGTACCCGTAATTCAACGCTCCACTCAGTAGAGCTATCGCGGTAGCTAGAGTTGTTGTGCCCATTCTTGAAAATCACGCAATCTTATTCTTAAGAATGTGCGCGCATTCTTAAGAATGAGCGCCCATTCTTTAGAACGAGCACGCGTTCTTAAGAATGAGCGCTTATTCTTAAGATTGGCTGGGAATATCACGTGCACAATTTATGAATTTTGCCCAATCTTAACAAACATTGCATTTGCAATTGCAGTTGCACGACATAATTATGTTAAATGAAATGTATAGCGGTTAAAAGGGAAACAATTTATATAAGGCCACGAGAATGAAAGTTATAGATTTGTGTCCGGACTTTTTTGAAAACACATGAGGCTTTTTTTCATTATTCATTATTCATTATTTTTTATTGACCATGGTCACCATGGTGTTTTACATAATACAAGCAGCGGCATAGCCAGAGTTTTCACATATACCCTATGTATATTGATGATACACCCATGCTGCACCCATGTAATGTAGTATATTTACACAACCATAGTAGGCCTATAGTATATTGTACTATGTGAACAGGTGTTTACACATGGGTTTTTTAAAAGAAAAAATGTGAATTTAAAAACGAATTATCCAGGAATGTCAACAAATGAAACAGCTCAGAGCCTCATGTAGATCGTGGTACCATATCACTGATTTCGTGACTAGGCCTAATGCCTCTTCTGCATCTGCGGCTCAAGGCAGTCCTCGCATTGCGGGTAGGTATCACCGTCATCCAGACGTGAACAATGCATGGTATCAACGCACGCGCACGCGTGCACGTGGAGACATTGCGAGAATCCGATGTGCCCATTGGTTACTCCTAGAACTACATTGTATGATGCTCCGCGTGAGCGGAGCCTCATAGACACAGAACTCCGCAAAATTGTTTGCAGCACAAAACACCAATTAAGTACAAAAACGTCCATCAAAACAGAGACATTTCCCACAGAACCGCTGCACAGATTGCCCCTAAACTTCGAACAATACCTCATGACATACTCACGTTATGTGCACCTAACAAACATCGGTGGATTCTGTCTGTTTTCGGCAAAAATGATGAAAAATATGCCCTTTCCGCACTGAGCCAACCTAACACTTGAAACGAGCACGCGCGCAGAATGATCGCAGTCATTTTTGGTTCGATCGCTCGGAGCGTGCCGCGGGGGGTACGTACATGCACTTGTACGCATGCGCATACTATCGTTCCGCTCTACACCATAACCCCCCCCCCCCCCCGCGGCGCGCTCCGATCGAACTGCTATGGGAAGTTTTGTAATAACGGAGGACTGGGAACTAGTCTGGGAAGTGCTTTGTTTAGGCTAGACAAGTTACAAGTCCCTGTAATGTATCATATGCATGCCACAAAAAAAAAACGATGTCCAGAAGCTGCCAAAATTACTCTATTGACTAGATAGAATCCAGCTCTGCGACGTAATGGTGGGGTGTGAACAATAAATTGGTGGCAATTTAAATGGGAAATAGCATTAGCACTATGGGATGTCGCAGTATTCATTCTCATTCTTCACATTCTTCATTCTTACGTTCCCCCCCCCCCCCCCCCCCCCCCCCCCCCCCCCCCGCTTTTATTATCCCAAAAATCAGAATTCTTTCCACTAGTATTATATTTTTTCAGCGCCTTGCGTTGCAACAGTATTGAAAATCGGTGAACGAGGATGCAGCTAGACTTGCCAAGCGTAGCCGGTGCTCGGCATCGACAAGACCGTTATCTTGTCGCGCATTCTTAAGAATGTGCGCTCAATCTGGAAGAGTTATTTTTTGCAAAGATTGCGCAAGGATCCAGTTGCACATTCTTAAGAATGTGCATGCACATTCTTAAGAATGCGTGATTTTCAAGAATGGGCACAACAGAGTTACCCAGCCCTGAATTGTATCATTGCATGACAACCCAATGACAACCCAATGACAACCCAATGATAAAATTCAGGGCTGGGTAACTCCAGCTAATTTCGCGGGGGATTTTCGGCATGTTCGGTGTGAGTCAACCCTCTCATCCCTTTACAAAAAGGTACCACTGCGCATGCGCACATCCCATGACAAAGATTTGGGTCGGCAGTTCGGCATGTTCGGGTCCCTTGTCCTACTACTAAACTGCGTCAACAAGCGCCAACAGTCTAGTTATGACGGTCATGACGGTTGTTGTCAACAAGCATCAAGAAATTTTGTAACTAATGTCATGATTGATTGTCATGATTGTAGCCTATAGTACTTTTCGCTCGTACCCCCCGCCCTGCAAACAGGACGCTGGGATACTCTGATGAGCTTCACAGAATCTTGTGAAGGAAGTGGCCTAGGACCTATGTATAAAGCATCTGGCTGCAGCGCAGTTAGACAAAGTGCGCAAATGCTATCCGAAAACTTCTTAGGCCGAGTAAAAAAAAAATATAGTTTCTCGTCCGGGGTTTTTTTAAAAAGGGAGGAAGCGGGGCTTTTTATTTTTTATTTTTTATTTTTTTCAAGATGACCGCCTTTTCAAAATTTCCTGCAACCGTTGGTGTTCCACTGTTCAAAGACACTTTTAAAGATGAAAGACAAGTTGGACAAGAGAACTGAACATATTTACAGTGTCATTTAGAGTTGTATTGGTATTTGTATTTAGTTTCCGATGAATTTGTACACTTTCTCGGCGTTTTTCTACTACATTTTTCAAAAATAAAAAATAATAAAAAAATCTAGGCGGCCTCCAAAAAGGAAGCGGGCGGGGACGAGAAACTTGGTTTTTTTTTTTACTTCGCCTTATAGAAATGCTCACATTCAATACCGGATGTGATTTCTGTTTCATTGCGGACCATGTGGAAACAATTTTGAGCGTCGCATAATGCAATCAGACCGTTCGTGATTCGAAACAGAGCCTGAGCAAGTGACGGGAATTGTAAATTTACAACACAGATAAGTTTTACAGAATTTCCTACATTATTACGCTTTTCAACGAGAAAAATACATCTCTAAACTGGAGTAAAAGAGTAACGAATCAGTCTTAACGGCTGTTTCAAACCTTGCGGAGTCATGACCTTGATGACGTGCAGGTCACTGGTCACGCAAAATCCAACCAATCAGAGCGTGAATTCATCAGAGCATCCTGTTTGCAGGGCGGGGGGTACGAGCGAACCTATGCTTTTGAACATAGAAATTAGGCCTAGCTTTAGGCCTATACATGTATAAAAAAAGCACATCTTCTGCATATCAATTAAAGTTAAAATTATTTTAAAACTTGCAAGTTGTTTTTTTGAACGCGAAATGTATGACGAATTTGTCGATTAGTGTTGGCCGCCATTTTGTTTATGTGAAGCTAGCCATACTACGCATGCGCAAAGTGTACAGCACCATCCAAACAAGATGGCAGTCAACACTAATCGACAAATTCGTCGTACGTTTCGCGTTCAAAAGACAAGTTTTATAAAAAATTTAACTGTAATATTAATGTAGAAGATGTTCTTTATTGCTTTTTCTACCGTATAAAGCTACTTTTAATGTTCAAAAGCATATACAAAATTTGAGAGTGAGAATTTAAGCCATGGTGTGGGGTTAGGGGCAAACTTAAGGTAGGTAGAATCATCAAATTTCAAATTCAAATTTCATGTTTGTTTTTATGTTCCCTTAATTAATTAGGAAAACTTTACATATATGTAAATGGTTTACTTTCAACAAACATCTGTTATTTTTCCGTGCGTCTGATTTTACTTATTTGATTATCCATAAAAATCAACATTTTATAAAATTAGCCGTTGTGGATTAAATTTATTTTACTCTAAATTCTCAATCATGATATAAGACTGCATGTTGTTTTATTCAGTTTTGTTTACCTTAATCAAAAGAATCTTTTGTTTATATTTAAATGAATGTGCAAAATGTTGGATGGTAAATAAAAGATAGTTTGTTAAACCACAGACGTTCTACACATGTATAAAATTATCCATGATTCAAAAAAAATGTTCACTGTGCAGAACAATACTTTATATTGTCACGGAGTGATAGTATTCGTTTACTTACTTTTGGTACAAAGTCATGTTCATTTTACATAGTGTTGGGTTCCTGGTAAGTTTTTGTGTGTAGGCACATGTACATGTATGTACATGTGCATTTATACATGCAGCGGTATACAGAGCATTGTTTGAAGTTCCTGGTGAACTTTGTGTGTAGGCCCAATTACAAACATGTACAATATACCATTGGCTCTATGAATATATACAAATGTACATGTCAAGCAGTTTTGTTCAAGTTCCTCGTACATTTTGTGTGTAGAACTAATTGCAAATGTGGGTGGGCCATTACCGCATTATGGGGAAGTTTTTTTATTACAGAGTTATGGGGACTTTCTGTGATGTACATGTTTACAATGTACATGTACATGTGTATAGTCCCCACCACGGAACAAGAATTTACATGATATACCGGGTATGTGTACATTGTGCATGTAAGTATTGTTCAAGGTTCCTGGTAAATTTTGTGTGTTGGCCCATAGAGCAAGAGTGGTAGGCCCAAGGACACTCACTGGACATGTACCTGTATATGTACTTTGTACAGACCTTTCATCACCTGATCACGCTTTTGTTGTGTGCGCTACAGTCTTTTCTGTGTGAGCTTGTGTGTGCACTTTGGTACTGCATGGCAAATTCCAGTAACCACTCCCTATAGTTGCGAACACAATACACACCTGTCTGTATGAATGAACCTTACAGATCTGTACAACCTATAGTCTATTGTACAAGGAGAAAAAATGAGTGTGCATTTTCCAACATATGACAATCATGTTCAGTAAGCTGTGACATTGCTGGGATACGTGTGAAGGAAAAGAGCAGCACTCAGTCTACATTAAACGATTGCATGGCTGTCAGTTTGTGTAAGTAGCATTATAAATTATGTAATTATATCATTGTATTTTTAGGGATGGATAGTACCGGTATTTGAGGAATTAAAGTATGACATACACAGTGTACATGAATTTAGCCGGGGTAAAGGCAAAAACAAAACTTGAATAACTGATTTTTTTTTAATCATAATTGTTATACTTTAGGGGCAGTAACACTTTTAACTATCTGTTTACAGGGAATAAACATGTTAAGCTGTATTATTTGTATGGAATAATTCTGGCCATGTGTTGAGAAACATAATTTCTGTAGCGATTTTACGTGCATTTTACAGAGGTGTTACAGAAATTCCTAGAGTTTTTGTGGAAGTCAGTATTTTTGTTTTTTGGTACATGTAGGTGTCATCACCGCAGTGTAAGCCTTGACCATGCAACTAAAGCTCTCTGATTGAGACCAACAAGATCATGGCCATGATGGAAGAATTACAATCTATGAAGGAAGAGTTTTCACAGGGTGAACCTTCTGCAGTGACTGCTGACGTAGACAAAAACACCTGCCGCTTTTGTGGAAAATCTTGTCAAACTAGGAAGCAACTAACATCTCATATAAGGTCTCATAAACCCAAAACATATGTCTGTAGAAATTGTGGTGCCGCCTTTAACAAGAAATCCAACTTTAAAAGGCATGAGGCCACTCACACCAATATTAAAAGTTTTGTGTGCCAAGTATGTGGTTTTTCTTTCCTTTTTAAACATGATCTGAAATTGCATCAACAGACCCACACAGATGAGAAACTGTTTAGCTGCAAAACTTGTGGTAAAAGATTTAAGCGTCCTAAAGATGTCACACATCACCATAGGATCCACTTGCAATTAAAACCATTTGTTTGTGAGATCTGCAATAAACGATTTTCACTCAATTCTAATCTTACAAAGCATGTAAGAGTTCACACCAAGGAAAAACCATACACATGTAACACTTGTGGCAAAGGGTTTGCACACAGTGGCAATCTGACTGAACACACTAGGATCCACACACAAGAGAAGCCATTTGTGTGTGATGTCTGTGGAAAAGCCTTTGCTTCAAGCAGCACGTGTCGGAAACACTGCCGAATTCACAACAAGCAAAAAGCATGTTCGAAAGAAACATGTGAGAAAACTATCTCAACTAACAAAGGTAGAAGGCACTGTAAAACCCACTCTGTAGAGAAACCATTTATTTGTAGTGTTTGTGGACATGGTTTTGCCTTAAGGAGCTTGTTGACGATTCATGAAAGAATTCACACTAATGAGAAACCATATGCTTGTGATGTCTGTGGCAAAGCGTTTGCCCAATCATGCAATCGCGCTGCACATTGCAGAACTCATACCCAGGAAAAGTCTCATGTTTGTAACTCATGCGGTAAGGTTTTTCTGTACAAGCGTTCTTTTATTAAACACTGTGCAAAAAGGCATGATAATGACAATTGAAGACCTATCTCATTTTACAAATTATGTGTACCAGAGGTTTACCTAAAATTTAAACGCTATTTTAAAAATCGGTAACAACTAGAGTGTGTTTACACAAGATGAATATTAGGAAATTTTACATGGATACAATCCAGCTTATTAATGCATCCTAGCCCTAACTCCATCAAAATCTATCACCCCAAATTTTTTTTGTTGGGGGGGGGGGGGGGGGGGGGGTTGGTAGGCAAGGCATGCGTACATGTATGAAGTCCATCAAAATCCATGCACCTATAGACTACTTTGGGGGCAGCCATCTTCTGTGGTGGTGCAAGGCGTGCGTGAGTCACGTTCAGGTAGGGTCCAGGCACTTGAGGTTCATTTGACCAGTTGGAATACCAAAATATGCCGCATCTTGAAGAAAGCGTGCAGTGTGATGAGTGTGACACCACCGCAGTAAACATGCATGTGACTTTTCCTCAGATCCGCTGATATTCTTTTTTTTTACTTCTCATGGATGCCATTACAAATTGAAATAAGTCTTGTGTGGTTCGGAGTTTCCTCTTTTTTCTATATTCTCTGTTGCATGCCTGAGTAAAAGCTGGTCCTGAGGCATTATGTGACGAAGACTAGAGTAGTTAGTGTTAAAAATTAATTCACGTCCATTTTTTTATCAGTTTATTTTGAGTGTAAATGTATGTTCATGCGTCCTGACTGTTCAATTTGTAAATAAAAAGTAATTTTTTTTATAGTGTAAGTGTTGTAATGAACTGCTTGAAGTAACTTTTGGTCAGTTAATTGAAAGAAAGCAAAATAATAATGATTGTAAACATGGTAAATGAGAGAGACAGTGTCAATAAGTCATTCAAACTGTGAAAGCTTACTATGTATGTTGTTTTAGAATGGACTGATTGAGTGTTTGTGACTTATTTCTCCTTACAAAAATAAATGGCACTGTCAAAAAAGTCCCAAAGATTGTGTGTTTTCATTCGGGGGGGGGGGGGGGGGGGGGTGCCTGGATGTTTTATAGCCACAGGTCTTATTACTAGGTTGTGTGATGGAAGTTGAACTTCTATATTGCAGCGTGCTTTGACCTCAAGATTTCGTTTTGGTGATCTTTGTCACCGATCTGTGTCAGTTCCTTTCTAATATGTGTCAGTTCCTATCTACTAAATTATTAAGGTAATTTGTGATCTACGTAGGTCTTGAGACTTCACCCTGCTGCTGCCCCCTTTGCGTGCCTGCCCTCTGGTGACTTCAGTCCAGAGACTTTGTGCTCTTCCTTGTGCAGTGGCTACATGTGCATGTACATGTGCATGATGACAATAAAACCAGTACACCCAAATGTCCTTTTGACTGATTTTGCATGGAAAGACAAATTTGCACAGAGTGTATGTTGGCATATCAGCCTTGCCATCTTTGTGTGGACTTGAAAATTAAACAGGCCCACATGATACAAGTTCTGTGAACCTTCTGTGGACTAAGCCAGGTCCACACAAGGTTTCCCCTTCTCCGGAAAACAGGTTTAAAGAGGCATTTTGGGGTTAGGGTGATCTGTCACAAAAAGAGGAACACTCAAGAAAATCATGAACAAACATTTGGGTTGAAAGAGTATCACATTGCTAGTAAAATGTTTTTTTTTCTACATGAAGACAAAGGAATGTCCACACTAGGGATGTAAATAAGGTACAGGCCTGTGTGCAGTGTCTGCATGTGCATTAACATAAATCTAGTGCACTCAAAGGTCCCACTGCCTAAAATTTGTTTACTCAAGATTTTTCTCTTTCTGTGTCCACAGTTTTCACCCACTGCGGTTGTTCTTTGCACAAACACCGACTACCGAAGTGGATTCCTACATCAAGCTCCATTCCTCTGTCCTGAAAGGACTCTCATACTACCGAAAGGGGAACAGATTTTGAAGAAAGCATCTTCGGAGTCAAGTAATGCAGAGCACTCCTGGTAAATTAATGTGAAGTTTGTCCACCAATTCTGTGAAAAACTACATGATTGAATGCACATTGTGTTGTGATAATGAAATAATACCAGGTTGAACACTGCTGAAACACTGAGTGTTGTATTGCCTAAGCAGGGTTCTGCGTCGAATCAACTACAAAAATGAGCTCAAGTCCTGACAGTTCAGACATGTACCATTGTGACACTTGCAGTGCCAGTTTTACAAGACGTGCCAAACTGCTAGCCCACCAAGTCAGGCACAGTGTTCAGGCCGAGTTGGAATGCGAAATTTGTTTGGAATCTTTCACATCCCAAGGCGAGCTTCATGTACATCAGAAACTTTGCGGAAGCCATGAATTCGAAGAGGAATTAGATGCTGAGGATTTTGATCCTGAGGACATGAGTGATGAATCAGAAGATGAAGAGAATTATTCATTAAAATCTAAGACTTCTTTAAAAACTCATGGACAAAGAAAAGAAAAACTTTCCTATGCTGAGAGTAAGGCCTGCTTCACCCAGAAAAGCACTCTTAAACGTCAGCAAGCCGTTCACTCCCATAACACATCTCTTGTTTGTGACTTTTGTGATGTTGGTTTCTCCACAAACTCTCAGCTGAAACTCCATCAAAGAAAACACGCAAATCAAAAAAAAGTGTACGCCTGCCCCATCTGTGGAAAGACTTTACCTTCTTCACTTCACGTATCACAACATATAGCAAATCCTACAATCTGTGTTGATGAGCTATGTGGTAGTAAAGAAACATTTCCCTGTGCTGAATGTAACAAATATTTTAAACTTAAAAAGCATCTTAAACAGCACCAAGTCATCCACACCCGTAACACATCTCTTGTTTGTGACCTGTGTGAAGTCTGTTTCTCCACAAATTATCAGTTGAAACTTCATCAAAGAAAACACGCAAATCAAAGAAAAGTGTACACTTGCCTCATATGTGGAAAAAACGTAACTACTGGACGTCACTATTTGGAACATGTAGGGAGTCATGACCGTGATTGTAAGATCTGCGGTTACCATTTCTCTTCAACTTATGCCCTAAAGATGCATCAAGCTGTGCACACGAAAACAAGAGACTACATTTGTGATGTATGTGGTAAAGGTTATGGAAACCAAAAACGGCTGCAGTCTCATCGAAGTATTCATAGCAATGCGAAATCATACCTATGTGAAGTTTGTGGTAAAGGGTTTCTCAATATAACACTTCTCTCTACACATAGGCTTGTGCATGGGAAAGAGAAACTGTGCTTGTGCACTACCTGTGGTAAGAAATTCTCAACCAAAACTGGTGTCAAAAATCATGAGAAATCTCACATGAAAGAGAGGCTGAGGCCAAATGTTTGCCACATTTGTGGCGATGCTTTCTTGCAACCCCATCACCTGCAAAACCACTTAGATGCTCATTCCAAGGAGAGGCCTTTCATCTGTATGGTGTGTGATAAAGCATTCGTATTAAAACATCACTTGAAAGCCCACCTGAAAACCCATACAGTCGATTTTCGTTAAATACAAACACTGTTTACACTAATTCTGGTTATAGCCAATGTTGATAATGAGCTTGACACATGTACATGTACGTGCATGTTCTCTGATTGGAGACAAAAAGTCGTTTTTCTGTTTTTCTGAAGTACTTTTCACAGATTCAATAGGTTTAATGGTTCGGATCTGCTTATTGGTGTAAGTCAGAGATTTTCATTATTTGGTCATTGAAAAGTTACAGATTTTTATTTTCCTAAAGATGTAGGAACCCTGTAAAGATGTCTGTCCTCAGTGCACTCATACAAGTCTTGTTCTAGTTGTGGGGACCACACACCTGTTGAGCGATATTTATTATGGGGACCAAAGTCACTATATGGACAGCAGAAAGCCCCCCATAATTGGGTCCTAAATTCCCTAAAAAAGACAACATACATGTATGTTGAACAGGTGTATACATGTTTTAAACATGAAGTGCTATCTGAAAGAAACACAGTATGTTTCATTTGTTGTAATTTTTTTAAATGATAAACGTTAAGTGCTTGTACAAAATCTTTTTATAGAGTTCCATGTTTTCCCTCTAAACTTTTACTGCATTGTTTTAGCACCTAGTGTAATGACATGCAACGAGATAATTTGTTTCAAATGTGTGTACAATTGTACATATATGTAAATGACTTGACAAATTGAACAACTGTATGTTTTATGTTATTTGCTCCAATTGTATGACTGCTCAAGATGTTTGTACCTTTGTACATGTACACATTAATCATGTTAATTAGGACCACCACTTTTGGGCATTGAATTTAGGCATTCAAATTTCCTTTTGAATGCATCTGATGGAAAGTGCATGGTACAAAATGTGTCTGATTGGAAGAAAACCGGATAATATGAGCAGGTTGTTTGTATCAAAGGGTTTTTTTGGGGGAAGGAATGTTTCAGGGGCATCATGAGCATTTGCCAAAAGGCACCAAGGGCGGACGCACAGAATGTTCACCTCAGTGTTCAGTGTGCTGACTGGTCTGCCTTAATTAGTGCTGTAGATTAAACCTTTTTTGACGTTAGAGGGTGCTCATTTCAGTATAAATTTTCCTTCAGATTTCATAAATACCCAGGGTTCTGGGAATTACAATCAACTGAAAAAAGGAGAAAAGTCATCTACATTCCTTTCTTGGTGTAATTACTGAACAAAACACAAACCCTCGGCAATTGGCACATTTCGATTTGTGGATGGTTGCACCAGGCGGTGGTCACTGGGAATTAGTAGGGGGTTACATGCCCCCAGGCCTCCCCCCCCCCCTACGGCTACGCCAATGTTGGAGCTTATCAGAAAATAAATTTCATCATGAAGCATTGTCCGCCTGTACTCAGCTTTAATATTTTAATAAATTAGCCTAGTATCCTGTCCACACATACCTGGCAATGTTTGCATCATTCAGTATGACTGAAACTCATATTATAACTGTGAATGTCCAGGTCAGTGCCTCACTTTAGCCGTGCTTTAAGTTTGCCTTGATTAAATTGAGAGAGTGCTTGGACTTTTTATAGCCACAGATCTTGTTAAGGAATGTCATACTAGGTTGTGTGATGGGAGGTTGAATTAAACTTATTGTAACAGCGGTCCTGGTCAGCCAGCAAGGGGCGCTAGCATGGCTCCACGGTGGAGCCCGTTGCTGGGAGCCCCCTTTTGGAAGACTGGGACACCCGTTCAAGACGTTTTCCATGCGTTTTTTGTTGTTGTGGAGATATATGACAGAGTTGTAAATAAAAAGTATAGAAATACAGCCAGAAAGACAGAGTTCAACGTGTGATCCTTGACTGCAGTTGTTGTGAGAGGAATCCCAGATTCGGATTGTTGCACTATATTGCAGAGTGCTTTGACCTCAGGATTTTGTTTTTGTGATTTCCTTCACTGATCTGAGTCAGTTCGTACATGTTTCTTACTGAATTATTAAGGTAGTTTGTGATCTACGTAGGTCTTGAGACTTCACCCTGCTGCTGCCCCCTTTGCGTGCCTGCCCTCTGGTGACTTCAGTCCAGAGACTTTGTGCTCTTCCTTGTGCAGTGGCTACATGTGCATGTGCATGATGACAATAAAACCAGTACACCCAAATGTCCTCTTGACTGATTTTGAGTGAAATGACAAATTTGCACAGAGTGTATGTTGGCATAGGTGTATCAGCCTTCATTGCCATCTTTGTGTGGACTTGAAAATTAAACACTAAGCCAGGTCCACGCAAGGTTCTCCCTCTCTGGAAAACAGCTTTAGATCAAGGCATTTTTGGGTTAGGGTGATCTGTGACGAAAGGAGGAACACTCAAGAAAATCATAAACAAAAAATTGGGTTGAAAGTCTAAGCACAATGCGAGTAAAATGTTTTTTTCTTCTACATGAAGACAAAGGAATGTCCACACTAGGTATGTAAATAAGATACATGCCTGTGTGCAGTGTCTGCATGTGCATTAACATAAATCTAGTGCACTCAGAGGTCCCACTGCACTCATCCCCTTCTGATCTTTTTTCTGTAGTTAATTTTACATGTCTCATCACTCCATATCTCAATTTGTTTACTCAAGATTTTTCTCTTTCTGTGTCCACAGTTTTCACCCACTGCGGTTGTTCTTCGCACAAACACCGACTTCCGAAGTGGATTCCTACATCAAGCTCCATTCCTCTGTTCTGAAAGGACTCTCATAATACAGAAAGGGGAACAGATTTTGAAGAAAGCATCTTCGGAGTCAGTGATGCAGAGCACTCCTGGTAAATTAATGTGAAGTTTGTCCACCAATTCTGTGAAAAACTACATGATTGAATGCACATTGTGTTGTGATAATGAAATAATACCAGGTTGAACACTGCTGAAACACTGAGTGTTGTATTGCCTAAGCAGGGTTCTGCATCGAATCAACTACAAAAATGAGCTCAAGTCCTGACAGCTCAGACATGTACCATTGTGACACTTGCAGTGCCAGTTTTACAAGACGTGCCAAACTGCTAGCCCACCAAGTCAGGCACAGTGTTCAGGCCAAGCTGGAATGCGAAATTTGTTTGGAATCTTTCACATCCCAAGGCGAGCTTCATGTACATCAGAAACTTTGCGGAAGCCATGAATTTGAAGAGGAATTAGATGCTGAGGATTTTGATCCTGAGGACATGAGTGATGAATCAGGAGATGAAGAGAATTATTCATTAAAATCTAAGACTTCTTTAAAAACTCATGGACAAAGAAAAGAAAAACTTTTCTATGCTGAGAGTAAGGCCTGCTTCACACAGAAAAGCACTCTTAAACGTCAGCAAGCCGTTCACTCCCATAACACATCTCTTGTTTGTGACTTTTGTGATGTTGGTTTCTCCACAAACTCTCAGCTGAAACTCCATCAAAGAAAACACGCAAATCAAAAAAAAGTGTACGCCTGCCCCATCTGTGGAAAGACTTTACCTTCTTCACTTCACGTATCACAACATATAGCAAATCCTACAACCTGTGTTGATGAGCTATGTGGTAGTAAAGAAACATTTCCCTGTGCTGAATGTAACAAATATTTTAAACTTGAAAAGCATCTTAAACGCCACCAAGTCATCCACACCCGTAACACATCTCTTGTTTGTGACCTCTGTGAAGTCTGTTTCTCCACAAATTATCAGTTGAAACTTCATCAAAGAAAGCACGCAAATCAAAGAAAAGTGTACACTTGCCTCATATGTGGAAAAAGCTTATCTACTGGACGTCACTATTTGGAACATGTAGGGAGTCATGACCGTGATTGTAAGATCTGCGGTTACCATTTCTCTTCAACTTATGCCCTAAAGATGCATCAAGCTGTGCACACGAAAACAAGAGACTACATTTGTGATGTATGTGGTAAAGGTTATGGAAACCAAAAACGGCTGCAGTCTCATCGAAGTATTCATACCCGTACCCGTAGCAGTGAGAAATCATACCTATGTGAAGTTTGTGGTAAAGGGTTTACCCAAATAGCAAATCTCTTGAAACACAGGTTTGTGCATGGGAAAGAGAAACTGTGCTTGTGCACTACCTGCGGTAAGAAATTCTTAACCAAAGAGGGTCTAAAACAACATGAGAAATCTCATATGAAAGAGAGGCCGCATGTTTGCCACATTTGTGGCGATGCTTTCTTGCTGAAACATCACCTGAAGAACCACTTAGGTTCACATTCCAATGAGAGGCCTTTTGTCTGTACAGTGTGTGATAAAGCATTCCTATTGAAACATCAGTTGCAAGCCCACCTGAAAACCCATACAGTTGTTTCTTGTTAAATACAAACACTGTTAACACTAATTCTGTTTATAGCCAACATAATTAAAATACACAATTTTGGTTGGGTCCTGCTGATTTTGTAGAATGCCATGGTTCAGTGGATACAGTGTTTGACTCGTGTATGATGATGCATGGTTTCAAACCCTAACAGGCAACAAAGTGTTTGCGCTCTTGGGCAAGACACTTAAAGGTACATGTACATTGTAGAGTGTATCAGTTGTGCATTTTTTTTTCATTTGAAGCAACAAAAATGCTAAAAATGTAAAGACGGTTCATAAGATGGAATTTTTTTGTGTCGGGATGATGTGAATCAATATTAATTTTAAGACAGGCAACAATTACTGTAATATGATGAAGTTTTAGCTCTGTGAATGCTGTACATTCTGAGAAAAAAATTGGATGCGATCAAGCTAAATGAGTTGTTGGTCGACCCTGGTCATTTTTTTTTATTACAGATTTAAAAAGAGCATAATCATAATGTGAAGACAAAAAGTCGTTATTGCACTGTTTTGTCAATAGGTTTAATAGGTTTAATAGTTCGGATCTGCTCATGGATTTCCATTATTTGGTCGTTGAAAAGTCACACCTTTTTGTGAATGCGGGTTAAATCACAATGGAAAGAGTGCATTATAAATGTATAAAATAATTATTATTAGCAACGTAATGTTGTGTTGTCATGATGATGTCATCATATATGCATTTTTCAATTGAACACTGCACTGCTAAGGTCATTTTGAAACCAAGACTATCCATAGAGTTGAAACTTTGTGTGTACACAGACGGATGACTGATCAAAATGAAAACGTCTTTCAGAATAAGGAACAGCAGCAAAGCAACATCTTTGTGATATCCTTGACAATATCTCAAATGTACATTGTGTTATGTGTCATAGTACATTTTCTTTAAATTTGAGTTGTAGTTCAATTGATGAAGATTTTCAAATAAAAACCGAAACAATGATCACAATTTTCTGGTGAGTTCTGATGTTTTGATGATTCACCAAGTCTCACAAACACAACATGCCAAATGACGGTCACTCCACTGAAAGACTGTTTGTTTGTAGTGTCTGTGGGAAAAAGTTCAAGTGGTCTTTTCATCTGATGAAAAGTGCATGGTACAAAATGTGTCTGATTGGAAGAAAACTGGACGATATGAGCAGGTGGTTTGCAGTGAATGTTTTATCAGAATAAATCCACATATTGATTGAATTTTCAGTGGATTTCTGAGGGCACAGTTATGTGCCCAGGTTTTGGTGGGGTTTTTTTTTGGGGGGGGGGGTGTTCCAGGGGCATCATGAGCATTTGACTGAAGGTACGAAGGGCCGACGCATAGAAATTTCACCTCAGTGTTCAGTGTGCCAACTGGTCTGCCTTATTAATTAGTGCTGTAGATTAGACCTTTTTTTGTCTTTAGAGGGTGCTCTTTTCAGTACAAATTTCCCTTCAGATTTCATAAATCCCCAGGGTTCTAGTTAATACAATCAAGTCAAAACAAAGAAAAAAGTCATCTACATTCCTTTCCTGCTGAAATTACTGAACAAAACAAAAAACCTGGACGATGGGCATGTTTCGATTTTTGGATGGTTGCACCAGGTGGCGGTCACTGGGAATTTGTTAGGGGTATGTGCCCCCAGGCCTCCCCCCCCCCCCCCTTCAGCTACGCCACTGTTGGAACTTATCATCAGAAATGAATTTCATCATTCCATTGTCAGCCTGTACTCGGCTTTAATATTTTCATTAATTAGCCTAACTGTCCACACACACATGACATTATTATTTGCATCATTCAGAATGACTGGAACCAATGGAATGACGCAGTCATGTGCCTCACTTTAGCCGTGCTTTAAGTTTCCCTTGATTCAATATTGGCTTTTGCCCTTCACAACTTCTATAAACACTGTATACTCAGTGACTTGATGAAGTGGATACAACTTACATTGTTTAAGTATGGTAGATTTTGGGATGTGAGGTTGCTTTTAATAATGTGTTAATTCTTATGACGATGGGATCTGTTGATATTAACTCATTGTTTGTACTATTTTCACGATGCAGAGCTTCGCCAATCAATCATATATCCCATGAATTACTTGTTTTCTTCACCATACATGTACCGCTAAATGATGGAACTACATGTACAATGCATCTAACCACAACTTTTTGATGGACAGCCCTCACTTTGTTACCTGTTGGCTTTTACTTCATCTGCCTGGCTTTCGTTCCACTTGACTAACTCACTGTAATTGCAGGCATCATTCCATGAAAAAGCTACTACATGTAATTACTGCTAAGTTTTTCTCTCAGTGTCCTTTCAAAGGGATCCTCTGGATTCAGATCTTTCTGAGGGTACACCTACAAGTTTTTGATGTCAGTGGTTGCACTAGGACATTAGCTGACATTACCTTCTTTTTTCTTCCAGTATTATTCATCTGGTGATTTGGACATTAAAACGTACTTAGCTCGTGGGAGGCATCATTTTCATCATTTAAGCAACTGAAGGAGACTGGAGTGAGAGGAACTTAATTGTCAAGAAGGTAAGGTATATGAGGCATTTATTTCATCCTTGTTTAAAGATAGGATAGATCTTTTGTCATTTTGTTTGGTGTGAAGCAACAAAAGTGCTCAAAATCTAAAAATGGTAGCTTAACAACTAACCTGATGAAATTTACCTCTGTGAATGCTGTACATGTATATTCCAAGAAAACAACATTAGATCTCAATTTCAATTCCAAAGTTGATGAGTAATATTTGAATTGCGCCTGAAATCAGCATCCGGAACACATTCTCGATTGCAGCTACGCAATGTTACGTACTGAACCGACAAGTAGCAACCATGCACGTGTGTGTGTGTCGTATCAACGCTTGTCACACCCATTCATGGATTCGCCCAATTACTAACTGAAATTTCCAAAAATATGTCTGCAAATAAGCTGCAAATGATCTACTCTACCTTTAAAATTATTTCTTAATTAGCCTTTTCGGAGTTCCAACTGCGCATTGGTAACCTGTGACAACGCGCATTGTTTGTCTCAAATGGCCTTTGACAACATCGCGCCACTGACTTTACAAAAAGGCTGTTTGTGCATTGTGGGTACTGTCAAAGGGCATTTGAGACAAACAATGTGCGTTGTCACAGGTTACGAATGCGCGCAGTTGGAACTCCGAAAAGGCTTATTGAGGTCAACTGTTGTATTTGTTTTACACGTAAAATACTCAAGACAATTTTTTGTTAAAACAAATTTGTAAAAATTTTTGGAGGCATTCCATCAGTTAATCTCTTGGAGCGGCCAGTATGTGACACTACAACATGCAGTAAGGTGCCATAGACGGGGCCCAATTTGTTTTGTACAATGGAGGAATTTGAGAGCACCCTTTGGGAGAAAAAAGTATGCTGCAATGTTCAAACAGCAAAACCCAGAATTAATTTGTTTTATCTTGCATATTTCTGGTATTCATGTCAATGCCAATGTTCACTTAAAAACAAAACGGTAGTACACCTCGCCCAGGTCAGGATGTGGTTTTTGCGATGTACTGCATGCAATGGAGTAGAGATTGAAGTCAATTATGATGCCAACACTAAAGTAATTATTGTTTTATTTGTATTGATATCCTTTAATTATCCAGCTCCATTGCAGCGGACTGACTCATCTGCCATAGTTGAAGTGGGACTCCCTCTCCTGTCCTTAGCTTCTGTGATGGAAGACGGTGTGCATTGGAGGAAGGAACAAAGCTAGAGTTGTCCGAGTGAGAGTGAAGATCAAGGCCAAGTGACATGCACGGACATCTGCTTTATTAGAAATTGAACAACTGGTACATGCACGTGAGAACTGAATTGATTCAATTAACTGCCAAAGGTGCTGGTATTATTAGCGTACTATTTACAGGGTAAGCGGAATGTACAACTAATTTGCTTTTTGTAACAATGGAGGGACGTGTTACAAATGAAATTTGTGTATCTTCACCTAACGATGAAACAAGTCCAACCGTCTTGAAAGAGACCCCTAAAAGATATCTGCCAAATAATTCACTCGTTAGAAATAAGACACCTCATTCCAAGCAAAAGGTTGATGCAAACTCCCACGGCTTTGCTTGTGGAAGTTGTGGCATCATTTTCAAGAGGAAAGATAGTCTTAGAAGGCATACATTATCCAGTCACACACGGCGTGGTTTGGAGAAACCATATTTCTGCAGTGTGTGCAATGATAGTTTTACGAGAAAAGACAATCTGAAACGACATGAAGCTAATCATCAAAAAAAGAAAAGACAAACAGCAAAAGTGAAACGTTTGGAAACTTCGTTAAAACGGCAAACTGTAAGATCTAAATCAAGGCGTAATGGGAAATCTCAAGGTTTTGGTTGTGACATTTGTGGTGTTGTTGTGAAGACACAATGGAGCCTCAAAAGGCACAAGTCAGCTAGTCATACACTTCAAACAGAGAAGCCATTTCAGTGCAGTATATGCAAAGCTGGCTTCAAAAGAAAAGACTCTTTAAGACGACATGAAGCCAATGTCAAACACAAACAGGTGTCTGATGAGTCTTCCTTAGGTTGGAAAATGACTCAGTCTAAAGTTAGGGTTCATGGGAACTCCAAAGGATTTAGTTGTGTAGTTTGTGGTGCTGTTTTGAAGACACACTACAATCTAAAAAGGCATAAACTAGTCAGTCACACCTTTAAAGGCACGGAAAAAGGAAAGAAACCCTTCCATTGCACATTTTGCAAAGATAGTTTTGTCAGAAAAGACTTGTTTAGAAGGCATGAAGCCAGTCACAAGCGATCATTTGTTTGCAGTATCTGTGATGCCGTTTTCAAGGGCAAAGTTCACCTGAAAATGCATCAACTTGTTCATGGTAAAGAAAACCTAAGGTCCAGTGAGAACTCACTTCTCCATTTGAGTGGTCAGCAGACAATTCCATCTGTTACCAGGAGAAAACACTACTGTGGAAATTGTGGGGTTTACTTTTCATCAAGTTGGTCTCTCAAAAGACATTTGGTCACGCACATCAGTGGACAGAGCAAAAGAAAACGTTTTTCCTGTACTGTATGTAAAGCCTGCTTCACAAGGAAAGAGCACCTTAAAGTTCACCAAGCCATTCACACCCGTAACACATCTCTCGTTTGTGATCTTTGTGATGTTGGCTTTCTCACAAATTATCAGCTGAAACTTCATCAAAGAAGACACGCTAATAAAAGAAAAGTGTACGCCTGCCACACATGTGGAAAATCTTTAGCTACTGCTAGTGAATTGTCAAAACATGTAGGTGTTCATATGCAGACAGAGCCTTGTGTTTGTGAGATCTGCGGTAGTCATTTCTCCTCAAATGGTGTCCTAAAGAGACATCAGTTAGTGCATTCTGATGCAAGATGCTATGTCTGTGATATCTGTGGTAAAGGTTTTAAGGACCTCTCTCATCTGAAGAGACACCAGCTGACTCACAGCACTGAGAAACCTTACCTATGTCACGTTTGTGGTAGAGGGTTTAAACAAAAGTTCAGGCTCTCGCAACATAGCATGGTTCATACGAAAGAGAAACCATGGTTGTGCACTACCTGCGGTAAGAAATTCTCAACCAAAGTTGGTCTCCAACTACATGAGAAATCTCACACCAAAGAGAGGCCGCATGTTTGCAACATTTGTGGCGATGCTTTCGTGCATAAACATCACCTTAAGAACCACTTAGGTGCACATTCCAATGAGAGGCCTTTTGTCTGTACAGTGTGTGATAAAGCATTCCTATTGAAACATCAGTTGCAAGCCCACCTGAAAACCCATATTAATGTTGGCAAATAGTTGTGTGTGAAAAGTCGATGGCACTCCAGACAGCCTCAGTGAGAGGGGAACCACTCCAGACAGCCTCAGTGAGAGGGGAACATTGCCGAAAACATGTACATAAGAAGCCCATCCAGAGCCCCCTCATTTTTTCCAATTTCAAGTTTTGTAAGTTATGTCTTTTTTCCCTTGATTTTTTTTTCTGCTTTTACTGTCAATTCACTGGTTATTTAATCACTTCAAAGACAGAAATGTTGACCCATATTATGGGCAAATAATACCTGCTTGAAGAATGTTCGGGTTTCGCCTCATTCCCCTCACCATTCCGTTGATGCAGGAGCCGCCACTCTACTTAAATAAGAAAGATAATGCTTGTAATTTCGTCAAACAAAACAAAGTCGCCAGACCTGTGTTATTCAGATGAAATGTAGGATTTCTGATGTGCCATTGATGCTTACTTTAAAAAATTGAACAAAATGACTGTTTTCACTTATAACTGTGTAGTCCTGCTATGCTAACTGACAGATACTTTTTGTTGTAGTGTTTTGAATGATGAATGTTAACAGCTTTTAAAAAAATGTTTGATAGAGTTGTACCATTTCATATTTGATGTTTATATTGAAATTACTTGAATCGTGCTGGATTGTATTAATGCCCAGTGCAATGGACCTGAAACCTTTGAAATGTGTGTGTAAATGTAATTGATTGGGTTATAACGGTTGATCACTTGCGGTGCCTTATTTAATCTGCTGTAGATGTTTTTAAAGATGTTGTGATTGTGTTGATATTGAAGCTTGTGATTTTTTCTATGTGTGTATATTTTGTCAGAAAGAATGTAAAGGTTTTTTTTATAGTGTGGTTGAAATAATGATTCAGGTTTGCCTCAATAAGTTGAATTAATACATAAAACATAAACATATTTCTGATTTAAAAGTTTTAACATTGTATTTTTTTATTCAGCTGGGTCGCCCCACGTGTCCCACAACACCTCAAATACTCAATCCTACACCAGTCAAGCTCAGTGGCCCGTTTAGTGCTGGTGCAGTTGATTTCACGATGTAAATATCATCTTTTGATGTCAATTAATCCAGCAATTGACAACAGAGCTTCCATGGACAGAGCACCGGAGCGACATATTAACAATGGTTAAATTTCTATTGTTTGTTCTAAAGGGGGCACTGGAGGCAACTGATATATTGGTTTTGTGTAATTCAAGATTCTAAATGGGAGGGGGGGGGGGGGAGTAAGTGAGGGGGGGGGGGAACGGACCTCTGTTGGGGGCCCGATTGCACCCCTCCACCATGCCCCCCCCCCCCATTTCAATTTCGAGCAGTTGTCATGTAATTTTTCTCTGAAATCGAAACCCTGTTGTATTACCTTTTAGACACCATTATTTGTCAATGGCATGAATTCAAAATTTACAATCCAAATTTTGTAAATTTCATGAGAGCACGGATCCCTCAAACTCGACCTCTTTCATGAAGAATTTCCGATGTTTTGTAGAATTTTAAAATATGGTATATTCTTATACAATGTACCAGACTGTTCCAAACCAAATTAAATACATTTTCAGTTCAGTTTGAAATCATTTACAGTCATGTCGTGACTAATGTTCAGTCCTGTTCAGACTACTATTCAGTCATGTATGTATAAATCATTCAGTCAAGTTTGAGCTCTTCTCAGTCATGTTTTGACTATTTCTGTCACATTCCAATAGTTTTCAGTCATCTTCAGTCTTGTTTGAATTATTTTAAATAAAGTTTTCCACAGATTTTCAAAAGTGTTTCACTTTTTGTCAGTTTTTGAATGCTGATTGATGCTCCTCTCATCATTAAATGTATTTCTGCATAGTTTGAAGAAGAGTAATTTTTTGGCCAAATTTCATCAAAAAACTAAGGCTAACCCCTTGTGTTTTTTTTTCAATTTTGGCCAAAAAATGAATTTGCTTGAAATTTGCTGGAAAGATGCCTAAAGGACTGTAGAACACATTCTGATGCGATTTCTCGACAGATCAGCTTTTAAAAAGGATATTTTGACAAAAGTTTGCGGTAAAAACAGACTCAAATATTATTATTTTTTCAATAGAAATTGATGATTTCGGCCAAAATGTTTCAAATATTAGGCGTTTGAATGCTGATTGATGCTCCTCTCACCTTTAAAAGTATTTCTGCATAGTTTGAAGAAAAGTCATTTTTGGGCCAAATTTCATCAAAAAAGTAAGGCTAACCCCTTGTGTTTTTTTAAAATTTGGCCAAAAAATGAAATTGCTTGAAATTTGCTGGAAAGATGCCTAAAGGACTGTAGAACACATTCCGATTCGATTTCCGGACAGATCAGCTTTTAAAAAGGATATTTTGACAAAAGTTTGCGGTAAAGAACAAGAGTGTATGTAAAGATAACCAACCGTTTTAACTCGTTTTCAGACAATTTTGTTGGAAGATTGCGCTGCGCGAGAAACAAAATACTCACGATCTTTCACATACAATTTTCCCGTATCCAAAAGTGCCATAGTGTTCGGCATCATTTCTGGCCTTCTTCAGGCGTCAAGTGCAGACTTCATGTTCATGGCTGAAGATAATCGCACTGCCAGAACACCGGGCGAACCCCTTCTAGAACTTCGGGATAAGGCCAAAAAAAAAGTCTCCGGTTTCTGGTATGGAGCTTGCCCCAAAAGTGGTGCGGCGACGCGGCTTTTTTTTTTTTTTTTACCTGTTTTTTTTTGGGGGGGGGGGGCTTCAAATGTCGGCTGATGACTGCAAATGGTGCCCGACTAAACTTAGTGCAAATATATGGGAGTCCAGAGAGGCCACATAAATCTTATTCTCGATCATAACCCCTTCTAAAAACACGTTAAAATTGTGCAGCAGCAGAATTCCAGTCAAACTAGTGAGTTTGGCGGTTTTGAAACATCATCTTGTATTGAAAAAAAACTTTTCATTTTGCCGACGC